AAGACCGTAGGTTCACGGCAGCCATTTACGAAGGCTGGTGAAAGGACAGCTTTCCCAAGCCAAGTGTGAATCACCTTCCAAAGCATCTATTTCTCTGTTTGTAGTATAGGCCAGGGTATGAAACAGTAACCTGAACAAATGCTCTTCAAATATATGATCTTTTTCTGCTTTGCAGTTTAATTTTTAAATGCACAGGAAAAACCAGGCCCTGGAGCCTTGCTTTGAATATTGCTTCTGCTACTGAAATCCCTTTTGCTCTCCTTGAAACCCCCACCCCACCCCATCTGGGTGAAAATATTTCAACTCAAGAGAATGTTCTTAATCTTTGGGCAAACTCAGTGCCAGCAATGCTCCTTCCCTTCTATCTAGGACCAAACAACAACAACAAGAAAAGTCTTCCTCCTGCAGTTGCTGGATCAAATGAGTTATTTGCCAGTCGAGGAAGAGTCTGCTGACATGATGGAACCTTGGCTGAGGGCCAAACAAACATATTGAATATTCCCACATAAGATGTGGGAATTACAAAACAGATACAGTGGTACCTTGGGTTAAGTACTTAATTCGTTCCGGAGCTCCGTTCTCAACCTGAAACTGTTCTTAACCTGAAGCACCACTTTAGCTAATGGGGCCTGCTGCTGCTGCCGCGCCGCTGGAGCACGATTTCTGTTCTCATCCTGAAGCAAAGTTCTTAACCTGAAGCACTATTTCTGGGTTAGCGGAGTCTGTAACCTGAAGCGTATGTAACCTGAAGCGTATGTAACCCGAGGTACCACTGTATCCTTTAATCTTTTTTCACTCTTTCAAAACAGCTACAGGGTGCTGCTAATTTGATTTAGTATGAGCAGAGTATTTTTTAAAAAAATCAATTCCCCAGTCTAAATCGTCCCCATGGAAGTTGTTGTGTGGATCGTTCAAGCAAAGTGGTGAATAGATGTGCCAGACAAGTCATTGTTTTTGCCCCCACTAGGGCAGGGAGGATGATTCTAGATGTGGGAAATGGTGTTAAGTGAAAGGATTCATGTCCCCCGCTGGTGACAGACCTCCTGTGCCACAGGAACCTAGGAAGCAGCCTTATAACAAGTCATGCTATTGGTCCGTCTAGCTCAGTATTGCCTGGGCCAAATGGCAGTATTGCCCCAGCCCTGCCAGCAGATGCCAGGGATCAAATCTCAGACCTTGAGGAAAAAAGCATGCACTCTACATTTGAGCTGCAGCTATTATGAATACAGTGGTACCTTGGGTTAAGTACTTAATTCGTTCCAGAGGTCCGTTCTTAACCTGAAACTGTTCTTAACCTGAAGCACCACTTTAGCTAATGGGGCCTCCCGCTGCCACTGAGCGATTTCTGTTCTCTACCTGAAGCAAGGTTCTTAACCTGAGGTACTATTTCTGGGTTAGCGGAGTCTGTAACCTGAAGAATATGTAACCTGAAGCGAGGTACCACTGTAGTTTAACCATAACCCATTTTACTGTCAACTCCTCATCTGCATATCCTGACCCTCAGACCTAGCTGTTCACAACATTTAAATTGGCCAAATCTCCACTCATTTCCCTTGCATTGTGATTAAGCACACGCACAAAGGTTACAGAGACTCATAGCTGTTCCTTTACCATTGTTAGATGTGATTGTTTAGTTCCTTGAACATACTTCCTGTTGCCTTGTAACTGCAAAGGATACACAATTGCAGGACAAAAAAAAACACCCTTAAGGCTGATTATACTTGTCCCAACAAGCTTTCTTCTTAGCCATGTCTTTTAGATTAATAGTAAATTTCATTCACATTGTTGATGTAAATTTAGTCCTTTGAAAATGAGAGTCAGTTCACCCGGTTGGTGGGTGGAAATCCTGTGTATGTTGTGGAGCAGCTGGCTTGAATTCCTGCGGGCAGTTTTCCCACAGAGATCTGGTCGGCCACTGTGAGAATGGGATGCTGGAATAGATGGCCCATTGGCCTGATCCAACAGGCTTTTCTTATGCTCTCAATTCTGTGTATGTTGTGAATCAGCAAACCTGTAGTATGTGATGAGAAGTTTGTGCCCGTATGCCCAAATCCCCATGGCAGCTTAATAACATTTTAGTGTTGCTTGCGCAAGCCTCAAGGCCTGGTTGCTTCTCTTCCCTTCTCATCTGGTGCATGAGGAAGAAGAAAGTTTTCACTTCCATTTTCAATTAACCAGGGTTACTTGTTACTTGTTATGTGGGTGGCGCTGTGAGTTAAACCACAGAGCCTAGGACTTGCCGATCAGAAGGCCGGCGGTTTGAATCCCCGCAATGGGGTGAGCTCCCATTGCTTGGTCCCTGCTCCTGCCAACCTAGCAGTTCAAAAGCACATCAAAGTGCAAGTAGATAAATAGGTACCGCTCCAGCGGAAAGGTAAACAGTGTTTCCATGTGTGGCTCTGGTTCGCCAGAAGCAGCTTAGTCATGCTGGCCACATGACCCGGAAGCTGTACGCCGGCTCCCTTGGCCAATAAAGCGAGATGAGCGCCGCAACCCCAGAGTCGGCCACAACTGGACCTAATGGTCAGGGGTCCCTTTACCTTAACCTTACTTGTTACAGCCAAGCCTGGACACTCTGGTTTAGGAAAACAATCCAAGATCATAAACCATGGTTTAAAGATAGTCAAGGTCAAACTCAGTTTGGGTTTGGATATAATGAGTAGCCATGGTTAGTTCAAAATAGAACCAAAGCTTTCAGTATTCTCACAGCCATGTGAGAGGAGCAGAGGAAAGCGGGGAGCTCACAAGCCGAAGACTCATACACTTAATAGTAAATAATAATTTACTATTGTGTCTGAACAGCAACAGTGGTTCTTATTCTGTGCCATCACCTTTCATGTCTTCATTAGACTTTTTGGGCAATTCAGTTTTAGGTAGGCTCTTAAAAGTTGCTTTCCTAGCTAACCTTACTGACCCAATTATGCTTTAATTGGTACAGCCTGAGTCAAAGCTTACGAGCAAGTATTTCAGAATGTACCTATTGAGTTCAAATAGGGTTGCCACAACACTGAAAAAGCAAGGAAAATGGAAATGGAAGGAAAGGTCATGTAGTCCCGAAACACCACTTTCACTCTTGATTAAAATCCGTGCTTAAAAGTGCAGAAGTGAGGTTTATAAGAGTTGTGATTTTAGTCCCGTCCCCCTTCTAAGCTGGAAAAGAGCCCTGGAATGGCCATTTAAAAACAGAGAAGATGAGCAATCAACTGGGCACACCTGAGTGATATGCTTCTTCACGCAAGAAATCAGCTTTGAGAGTACCTAATGTGCTGCCACCGTTGGAGCTTCTGAAAAGCAGTATTGTGCAAGGACCGCTTCACTGAAGACTTCCAAAGAATAGTGTCCGCTACATGTCTTCCTTAATGAAGCATGGAGGACACTTTGAAAAATAAATCACCAAGCCATATGCAAGGCTCTTGTAAGCAAGAACCATGATGCTTGAATGCCATTTTTAATAAAAAGTCTTGTGCCTGTGTACTTTGGGGCAAGGGGAGGTTAAGTCTCACACTTATGTTGCCAAAGTTTGTGACTGGTGCACAGTGTGTATTTGTTAAGTTTATAACACTCCCATGTAGCATTTTCTCCAGATGTTTTTCTCTGACTTCAAATTTAAAACAAGACCATTTACGTGCATGTTCAGCATTCAAACTGACTTGGCCATGTTGTGGAGACATACACAAAAAGTTCTTTTGTGTCAAACCATTACTTTTAGTAAAATTGTTACTGTTGCAAACCTTTGCAAACTATCTGGCCAAGCAGCCTATTTTTTGTCCAAACCCTGGATCCTAATCCAGACAGATCTCTGTTCAAAAGCCCCTAAATATTTAACACTCTGGTTAATTGTGGAGCTACGAAGCTGAGCTGCAGGGGAGAGATTAGGACATTTTTAGGCCTTGAGAAAAATATTGCTGTGCAGTCTCTTGAGTTTGTATGACCAAGCTTCAGGAAATTCCCTGAGTTGAATGCTTACACTTGAAGCTTAGAAAGAGGTTTTTTAATGTATTATCTGTAAGCCAAGAGAGTGCATCAAGAATCCTCAAAAACCTAACTGATCCTGAATAGAACTGAAGCAAATCCAGACATTCTTCAATAGGCAGATGGCATCTAGTTCTGTTTCTCTGTGATATCTGCATCAGATGAAGCTGTGCAGATGCTTGATCAGTATCTGGGGGTGGTAATGGGCTGGATGAGGTTCAATAAACCAAACTGACAAGTTGGAGTTGCTGCGACTTAGTGGTTCCTGGGACCAGAAAATATGAAGGTGACATGTTTTGGATGGGGTTGCACTCCCCCTAAAAGACTGCAACCAGTGCAAAGTGCAGCAGCCAGAGTTTTGTGAAGCCTTTCTGCATGAAACAAAATCACAGCATTCTTTAAAGAACTGCCCTGACTACCTATTTAACACTGAACCTTCTTGGTTATACCATCTTTGAATGAGCTCAGAGGAACCAAGACCCACCAGAGGGCTTTGTTGGCATTAGCACCCCAGTTTAGGAACATCCTTTACCTTGAAGTTTGGTTGGTGTCTATACTTTCCATCTTCTGGTAGAAGCTGAAGACATCCCTGTTCTGCCAGACATTTCACACATGCTTTTATTAGGCCTGCACTGGGACAGACAGATGTTGTGAGATCTCTCTTCCACCCCCATTTCAATTGAATTGTGGTTTTTTTGCTTTTATTGTATTATAATTTGTTTCTACAGACTCTGAAATCTCCCTTGATGAAGGAAGGAATAGAAATCTAGGGCGATATTACCTCTAGTACAATGGGACTTCTCTCTCTCCTCCATCTGTGTGCACCTTCATCCTCTGCAATTCTATTTCACAGGATTAGGGCAACCCCAAAACACATTTAGGGGCTGCTCAGCGGAAGGAGGGAACAGGAAAGCCCCATTACACTTGCAGTAATTATTGCACTAACAGGACTTAGTGCTATGTTGAATACAGCCCCTTAGTAAGTATACAGTGTTAATGTTTGTCTTTCTTTTTTCTCTTTTAAATAGGACTTTTATTATCCAACAAAGCCAATGAAGATGTGCATAGCAGAATGATGGAAGCACCTGAATACCTTGATTTGGATGAAATAGATTTTAGTGATGATATATCTGTAAGTTATCAGGCTTTTCTTTTTTCTTCTCTGCTGAATGAAATACAGTCTTTCTGTTGTTTTGGTTTTCGGCTTAAATGTTCTCTCAGTTTCACCAAATGAGTGGAAAACCTGAAAAAGAGAAAAGAGAGATGTGGCAGGATTTTAAAAAATATATTATGGGGTGTCTTAGGGCACTATTTTGTCCTTAATGCTAGTTTGCATCTATATGAAGCCATTGCGACAGCTACAACCATTCCTGGACCAAGATAGCTTGAGCATTATGGTCCTGGCAATGGATACCTCAAGACAGGATTGCTCCAATGTGCTCTATGTGGGACTTAGAGCCCTTGGGCTTAGCCTGGAAGTCGCAGTTAGTGTGGAATGAAGATTGTTGACTGGAGGTATCCTCTTGATACCATGGTATCTGCTGAAGGAGCTGCACTGACTGGCAATATGAGGTTCCAGAAGCATGCAGTGTTGTGTAAGTTTTCATGACAGATTGTGGCCAGCTTATATCACCGAAGCCATGCTCCACGACATGCCAATATTCTGTTTTTAGGGTTAAGTTCAATTAATGCAACAGGAGAGTCAGTTGTGGTACTGATGGGTTGATAGAAACACACACACACACACACACTGAAGACTTAAAGACCTACCTCACATATTATTTAAGGCCTGAGTGTGCTCTTCTGAAATACCTGGGTAAATCCAGTTGCAATATATCCACTTGGGCCCAGGCTAGTCTTGAAAAGTCATCATTCAAATGTGCAAGAATCCAAAGACACTCCAAAAGCAGGGTTGCCACCCATTCCAAGAATAACTTTGCGTTAAGCACAGGGTATGGATGACATATGATGCCCTGGTTGTGAATCTGCTTAAAGTATGCAACATTTCTCTGATGAAAATAGGGACGTCCTATTCCAGAAGAAGAAGAAGAAGAACTTTACTATTTATACCCTACCCATCTGACTGGGTTGCCACTCTGGGTGGCTTCCAACATATATAAAACATTTAAAAACATTTTTAAAAAACTTCCTTATAGAGGGCTGTCTTAAGATGGCTCAGGGGTCAGATAACTCCATACCCTCCAACATTTCTCTGATGAAAATAGGGACATCCTAAGGAAAAGCAGGACATTCTGGGATCAAGTCAGAAACTGGGACCGCTTCTGTAAATGGGGGATGTCCCTGGAAAACAGGGACACTTGGAGGATCTGGGATGGATCAGTTTCATAACTTATAGTGTGAGCCTAGCAATGTCTACTCACAACGGGGCTGACTCCCAGGCAAATCAGTTTAGGATTGCAGCCTAAGCCTTGTAGTGTTTATATTGCGATTACTATAATTTCCAAATATGGAAAGCCTAGGGGATAAAATTGAACTGCACTCTGAATAAACAACACTTCCGTATATTTCTGCTGCTGTTACATTTTCCTATATTATACCCCCTATTTCACACTACTTCCTAGAATCTACAAAGGTTAACAGTTCTGAGAGTGTATTATACCAATCTCTAAGGGACGTTAAGGATCTATTTAAGCCAGCAATATGCCTGGAGGATCTGAATACAGTAATCAATTGTGATGCCATTATTAAAATGCTATCATTCTATGGTGCATACTTTGCAGTTCTTACCGAAACTAATGATGCAGCTTATTCCAATGTCCCTAATGAGATCTTGACTATAGGTTATTCTATTTTATGAATACCAATAAAAGCTCCAAACCAAATATGTGTTAAATGCCTAATTAGCGAGGGAATTAGACATATGATTGCTGAATTTATGTTTTATTCTGGCCTTTATAGGGATATTGTTCATTTTTTAAAATTTTAGCTGCTTTATTCGGAAGCCATTTTCTCCTAAATTGTATTTTAAACTTTGACTATCTTTATGTAGATTATTAATGAAGGCAGGCTAAGATTGCAAATTCATTAGACTGTGATCTAATCTCAAAAGAATAATTTATTTGAGGTAACTGTGCTTTTTATCACTGTGGGGTATAGGGACATGTCCCAGAGCATATTTCTAGGCTCAGTTTTATAGCAGCATAAAACAAAGAAGGTGTAACCTCTTCTTGACTTTCCCATTGTGCCTCAATAATTACCTTTAGTGTCAGTTTCAGAAATGGGTTAATAATGAATGCTGTGAAATGCAGCAGGCCATTCTGATTTTTTTTTAAAAATGCTTAATACATAAGAACAGTATTATTCTTAATTTTCAGCTTCCACTATCACAGGCAAGATTAGCTTGTAATGAAAACACTCAATAATAAACTTCAGGCTGCTATCAGTGTTAGATTAAAGAACAGTTTCTGTTATTTTTGATAAAACATTGCACTCTCTCTAATGTGTCATCATTGAGTTCTGTAAATAAAATCTATACCATTTGCATTCTGGTCCCACTGAGTGGACTTCATTCTGGGGTATAGATATGTTCTGTCACGTTTATTCATGTTTTGTTTGAAAGTTGCAAATTCACAGATTTGCAGGGAAATAACAGCAGAGCTGAAACAGCAGCAACATTCAATCACGACTCCCTCCAAAAACATTCCAATTACTTCCAAAAAAACATTATTGTCTGGTTTTTGCTAATTTGTCATGTGCTACCTTACTGCGGCTAACCTATCTTCTTAAAGTTGCATACTGTTGAATTGTAAGGATACAAGCTTGATTTCCGTGGGTTCTGGGCAGCATTGAAATTCATTAATTTTAAAGCACTTACCTTTGGTTAGAGTCTGTCAAATGTTTGTTTCAACATCTAGTGCACTATTGGAAATAGTAATAAATAGTAGCTGAACAACCGAAATAATAACCTAAAAAGTTTAGCTCAGAGTAAACCAACTGAAATTAATGAGCATGACTAAGTTAGGTCTGGGGACGCGGGTGGCGCTGTGGGTTAAACACAGAGCCTAGGACTTGCCGATCAGAAGGTTGGCGGTTCGAATCCCTGTGACGGGGTGAGCTCCCATTGCTTGGTCCCTGCTCCTGCCAACCTAGCAGTTCGAAAGCACGTCAAAGTGCAAGTAGATAAATAGGTACCGCTCCAGCAGGAAGGTAAACAGCCTTTCCGTGCGCTGCTCTGGTTCGCCAGAAGCAGCTTAGTCATGCTGGCCGCTGTACGCCGGCTCCCTCGGCCAATAAAGCGAGATGAGCGCCGCAACCCCAGAGTCGGCCACGACTGGACCTAATGGTCAGGGCTACCTTTACCTTAAGTTAGGTCCATTCAACTGAATAGGTCTACCTTGTGTAACATTTTATTCAATGTCTGCTTGCCTAGACATTGTCTATACTAGACCTGCTGTTTCTTCCTTTGATGATGAGATACCAAGCTTCACCCAAATGTTCAGTTAAATAAAATTGTAGTGCAGACATAGCCAATGTGGTGCCTTATAGGTGTTTTTATAAGAAGGTAAGAGGAGCCTGCTGGTTTAAGCCAGTACCCCACCTAGTCCAGTATCCTGTCTCACAGAGGCAAACCAGATGCCTGCAGAGAAACCAAAAGCGGGACCTGAACACAATAGCACTTTCCCTTCCTGCCGTTTCCAGAAGCATACCATCACCCACTGCAAAGGTAGAATGTATTCATCAGAATTAGTCACCATTGGATAATTATTATTATTATTATTATTATTATTATTATTATTATTATTATTATTTATTATTTATACCCCGCCCCTCTGGCTGGGTTTCCCCAGCCACTCTGGGCCGCTTCCAACAGAATATTAAAATACAATAGTATATTAAACATTCAAAGCTTCCCTCATTAAAAGCTGCCATCATCCCTGACAATTGGCTTAGCTTGGTTGGAGCTGATGGGAGCTGTTGTCTATCAACATCTGGGAAGGTACCATGTTGGCTAGAGTGTGTCTCGATAATAAGATGAAGCAGGTACAGAAAAAGTAATATTTAAAACTCAATGGCAAGACTGATCAGTAGCCACTCTCCATGGAACAAAGACAGGAGCCAAGGAAAGAAGTGTTCCCTGTTAGTAGCCTGGGAAAGAAGTGAGTAATGTTCTCTCTTGGCGCTTTAACAGTTTTTCTCAGCTGAAAATCCTGTTCATCGTATTGATAGAAAAGGCAGAAATTTCAAGCGTTCATATTTTGTTTTGGGACAGGAGCTGAGCAGGAGGAAATCTGCTAGTGCAATCAAATACACACCATTAAAAGCACAATCAAATTTATAGCATGTTTAATAGATTTTTCGTAGGGAACTGAATATATTTTAATGCTGTTAAAAATGGAATGGTTTGCCATTCCAAGAGAGAGGGGAAATAATATATAGAGAAAAACACTGGACTAACAAAACACATTTCAATGGGGTGTAAAAAGACTGCTTGTAATTGATTTGCCAATTGTGTAACAGTTCAACCTGTACCACCTGGCTTCAAGAAGTTAGCGTTTTCCTTGGAGACTTGATGCTTCTCTTTCTCCTGGTACCTTTTCACTGCTGAAATACAAAAATACATTGCTCAATATGTGTACGAACATGTGACGACATTTTTATTTCTTTAGTTTTAAGGTTTGTGAAATTTCTGGAACTGTTGTAAACATGGTGTTTTGAACTCATCCTCGGTTGCTAGCTTCTGTTGTGCAACGTTTTATGGTTAGCTTTTTACAGTAACCCACCCATTTAACTTTTGGATGTTGGGTGATCCATAGAATAAGGATTTTTCTCAAGTGTTCTACAGGCTGGGTGTCAGGCCAGAGACTATTTCCCAACCTTCTTAGGAAAGAGAACTAGGATTTTATCATCAAAAAGTAGACTTGCCCCACTGTTGTTGTTTTTTTAATCTGGCCATTGCCTCTCTTGGTATGGCATAGCCCATGATTCACCCCAGCTTAGGGACTGAAGACCCTAACAAAGGTTGCCCAGGCTTGCAGTCCTAAACACTAGGAATGGGGAGCCTGTGTCCCTTCAGTTGCTGCTAAACTACAACTCCCATCATTCTTGATCAGTGGCTATGCCGCTGCTTCACTACGGATATAAAACATCTAGTAAATGGACTGTGTTCTCAGATTCTTAGAGCTAAAAGTCCCATAGACTTAGCAGTAGACTCAGTCAGAGTCAGGTCAACAGAACCCAAGAACAAAAAAAGGAAAGAAAGCTAATGAAATATGGGTGTGCTAGGTAAAATCTGTGGAGTGACAGGCTAATTCAGCTTCATTTGAATCGGCCAAGTAAGTTATTTCTGTAACTGGTCACCTGAGACTGACTGAATCATTTGATTTTGACATATAATTGGCAAATTATCAGTTCCAACAGCAAAGCCACTCATAGAACAGTTCGGCTATTATGTGGGAAGCTACTGGAGTTTTCCAAGTAATTCAGTTTTCTCTGCCATGTCTAAATATATCCCTAAATTTAAGAACATTATATCACCATATAATCTCAAAAATATTATAATGTTTTTTTCTTTCCTACCTATGTCTTTTGGCTTTGCAGACTGCTGTTACTAATGTGCAGAAAGGTATTTATTGTCAAAGGTATAATGAGTACCTTTGGCACCGAGAACAGTGTTGGCATGAATTAACATTTTTGTGATGTGTAGCATTCAGTTTTGAAAGGGACCACGGGGATCAATATTAAATTACCTACAGAATTTTGTTTGTGGGAAAATTCTTTTTACAGTGTTGGATCATATGGGCGAATGAAGGCATTCCACAAGTTTATGAAGAAATTATTGCTGCTTACTCAGACATTTGACATTGCTTTAAGAGGGAATCCAATGAATAGCTTGCTGATTAACATCAGGTGTGCCCCTTTGCAGCAAATGTATGTTTGCTGTGATAATACTCTTTGAGAAACTGGTTTCTCCCCTGTATACATTTACTGTATAAGGAATAATTTCTGTAGGATCCTAACATTTCAGAGAATTGCATATAGATAGAAATTTGAGTCTAAGCATATGTTAGGCAAACTATACACACACACACACACACACACACACAGTGGTACCTCGGGTTAAGTACTTAATTCATTCCACAGAGGACCTTAAGGTCCACAGATGACACCACTTTGGAGATCCCGAACCTCAAGGAGGTTAGATTGGTCTCAACTAGGGCCAGGGCCTTTTCAGTACTGGCCCCGACTTGGTAGAACGCTCTGCCACAAGAGACTAGGGCCCTGCAGGACTTGACATCTTTCCGCAGGGCCTGCAAGGCAGAGCTGTTCCACCTAGCCTTTGGTTTGGACTCAGTCTGACCCTTATGTTTCCTTCCCCTTATGGTTTTGATCTATGGGCTGCTATTAAAATGAGGCTGCATTTTAAATTGTATTTTAACCCGTATTTTAATAAACTGGGTTTGTTTGTTTGTTTGTTTGTTTGTTTGTTTTCCCCTGTTGTGTTTTATTGTAATTTTATTGGTGTTAGCCGCCCAGAGCCCGGCTCTGGCCAGGGAGGGCGGGTATAAAAAAATTATTATTATTATTATTATTATTATTATTATTATTATTTAAATTCTATGATTCCTTGTTTCTGTGACATACCACAGCTAGGGAGGCTTTGCTTCCATGATAGGGAAACTAGATGACTGATCTGCTGGGCTTTGTGGGTCAGATTGTTCTAAAAAATCCTTTGTTCACTATCTTCCTCTGGCAGCAGAGTGCAAGTGTCCTTAAGTGGCACTTTTATGTTGCGCTGAAATGGGGGGGGGCGTGTACCACCTTTGTTCTAAGCCTCCAGCAGAGCACTGGGTAATACACAACATCATTAAAATGAGGCATCCACTTGTGGTTAGATTTCGTAAGAAAATTACTGAGCAAATGTGATTTTTTGTTTTTCAGTATTCAGTAACTTCCCTCAAGACTATCCCAGAATTACGCAGGAAGTGTGACTCACAAAATGAAGACAGAACAGGTATGCTGCTCATTTCTGTTCTGCAATCGTCATTTTTATAGGGAATTTTTGTTCAAGTAAAGACTGTGACAGACTGTCTTCTTCTTTTAAACTTTGGTATTTGTGTGATAGCTGTCTGGTAACAATGTGTTTCTTTCTCCCCTATTGCTTTTCCTCTGAATTTCTTCTCTCTTAAGATGTTAGGTTATTAGCAGCAGCAGCAATAACAACAAAAGTTCCATAAAAGGATTTGGCGGCACACAGATAAACGCAGGGTTTAACCTCAGCAGCTCCAAACCACAGTATATGCAACAATTTACTGAAAAAAACCGAGAAACCATTAGTGACAAGACATAATGATGTAGGCGCCAATGAAAAAATGTTGGATACATTTACTACCCATATGGTCATGACCAGTTTGAGGCATGATGTTTTGCCAAATTCTGAAACTCTATCAAGGATGCTACAAGATAGAATCTACTCTCAGGCATACTGTAACAGTTAAGATGAAAGCAAAGTTTTTGCGTTTAATAGTGTAAACTAAATGAAGAGCCATGGCACACAGATGAGAACCAGCTGGAGACCTTTTCTCCCCTACTGACAAAAAAGAAGTGCATTCCGTGTTGTTTTTCACTTTGTAAATCGGATTAAGGCTCTTTTGTTTCTGTCTTCAGCACGGAGCAAAAGTATACTGGTGAGAGTAACATCTCTGCATTGCCCTCTGAAAATTTCATTGTGCTTACACCAAATGGTAATTTCATTAATATTTGAAACTAAAATGCCAGTTGTAGAAACCCAGGGCCTCGGGGGTTTTTAGGAACATTTGAAGACCCAGGCGTTGGCAAGTATTTTATTTATGTATTGTGTTTCACAAAGGAGAAAATTGTCATTGCTTGTAGCGTAGGTGTAGAATTTCTCTGCCACAACCATTAATGGCTAAATTGCCACACCTCCTTACTGAGTCACATGTGAGAACAAAGCGAAAACAGTATATTTCTCTCTTCTCACTTCTGCCTTGAGCCCTCACTCCCAATACTTTACTTCCAGCAATGGTGAGGAAAGCATTGCTTTTGCATGTCCTGAGGCGAGGGAATAGGCAAGGTGCTGCTGCAAAGTGGAAACAGCCCCTCCCCCCTTCTACAACTTTTCATATGCTAGTCAGGATTCCTGAGTAAATGAAAGAGTTAAACCGATTCAGAAGAAGAAAAAGAAATTATGTAAAAACGGCTCAAAATTATATTAAAAATTATACTCAGTACAGTGGTACCTCGGGTTACATATGCTTCAGGTTACATACGCTTCAGGTTACACACTCTGCTAACCCAGAAATAGTGCTTCAGGTTAAGAACTTTGCTTCAGGATAAGAACAGAAATCGGGCTCCGGCGGCGCGGCAGCAGCAGGAGGCCCCATTAGCTAAAGTGGTGCTTCAGGTTAAGAACAGTTTCAGGTTAAGAACAGACCTCCGGAACGAATTAAGTACTTAACCTGAGGTACCACTGTAGAGACATACATTTATGATTGAAATCCTGTGCATAGTCTTTTCTAAAAGTTATTTAAGGATAGGCAAGAACACACTGGGTTGTGTCTAAGGGGTGCAGATTAGATCTGATTTGAGACACCTGTCGTGTTCATTGGATTGACTTAGAAGCAACGCAAGCCACTTCCCAAATTTTCTGGAAATAGCTCGTTTAGTTTCTGAGTCAATTCACATTCAGCCTAGCCTGCTCCCCTACCCCCACTGAAAGTCCCCAAACCATCTTCACTGTCCAGACTAGGTCTTCAAATACCTTTCCTTCCTTTCTCTTGCCAGGCTGGCACTTCTAGGGGTTCCACTCTGGTAGCAGCAATAAGCTGCGGGGAAAGGAAAGAGAAGTGTCTCTCTTTCTCCTCCCAGACACTTGGTGCACTGTATATCAGCAGTCGTAGAAGATACAAGTTCACAATAGACCATGCTACATGGCAGTAGCCCTTGAAAAAGCTACACTTTTCCAAACACTGCTGAGCTCTTGGGTCCAGTCATGCTTCCATACAGCACACCAGGCATTGGAGAGGAGAGAGAGAGAAAGAACATGGGTGGATTTTAATCCAAGCCTGAAGGAGCGTCTCCACCCCCAGCGCCGAGGGCCTTCTGGCAGTTCCCTCACTGTGAGAAGTGAGGTTACAGGGAACCAAACAGAGGACCTTCTCGGTAGTGGCGTCCACCCTGTGGAACACCCTCCCATCAGATGTCAAGGAAATAAGCAACTATCTTACTTTTAAAAGACATCTGAAGGCAGCCCTGTTTAGGGAAGTTTTTAATGTTTAATGCTGTATTGTGTTTTTAACATTTGGTTCGGAGCCGAATGTTATTTATACCCCACCCATCTGGCGAGGTTTCCTCAGCCACTCTGGGCAGCTCCCAACAGAATATTAAAAACACTATAAAACATCAAACTTAAAAACCTTCCCTAAACAGGACTGCCTTCAGTTGTCTTCTGAAAGTCAGGTAGTTGTTTATTTATTTGAAATCTGATGGGAGGGCGTTCCACAGGGTTGGCACCACCACCGAGAAGGCACTTTGCCTGGTTCCCTGTAACCTCAATTCTTGCAGTGAGGGAACTGCCAGAAGTCCCTCGGCGCTGGGGGTGGAGAATGATTGGAATTAATCAGGGCTCATGTAGCGACCATGATTAGCAGCACAACACTATGTACCCAGTCAGATCTCATTATGCACTAGCATCTCTGAAAATGCTTCCTTAAATGCTTCCTTTTTTTCTCTTTGAAGGACGCCTCAAAAATTGCCAGACTGGAATGCTGTTGAAATCACACCACAGTTTCAGCTTAGTTCTAATATGAATAAATCATAGAATCATAGAACAGGGATGATGAAGATATTGTGGCAGTCCAGGCAGCTTGGTCTCACTCGCCCCTTTATACCTTTATTGCTTAAATAAGAGGAAACACCTGGAAGAATCTATATACAGTCATACCTTGGGTTGATGTTGCTTCAGGTTGAGAGCTTTCAGGTTGCGCTCCGTGGTGACCCGGAAGTAACGGAACGCGTTACTTCCGGGTTTTGCCGCTCACGCATGCGCAGACGGTCAAAATGACATTATAGTGGTACCTCGGGTTAAGTATTTAATTCATTCCGGAGGTCCATTCTTAACCTGAAACTGTTCTTAACCTGAAGCACCACTTTAGCTAATGGTGCCTCCTGCTGCCACCGCGCCGCCAGAGCACGATTTCTTTTCTCAACCTGAAGCAAAGTTCTTAACCTGAGGTACTATTTCTGGGTTAGCGGAGTCTGTAACCTGAAGCATATGTAACCCAAGGTACCACTGTACACGCATGCGCAGAAGCAGCGAATCACAACCCGTAGATGCGCAGACGCAGGTTGCGTTTACTTCAGGATGAGAACGGGGTTCTGGAACGGATCCCGTTCATATCCAGAGGTACCACTGTACCCATATGAAAAGGTGCCAGAGGTTGTTGAGTTTTGTCTGTGTGCGCTGATACTTTGTGTTCAGCATATTTTGGGAAGAAGACTTGGGAAAGGAGAATTGAAACCAAGAATGTAGTAAGCTGGGGAGCTATGCCTAAGATAAATATTTTGGTTAGGGGCCAAGTGATCTCAGAATTAAAACTACCTAGCATCCTAATAATATTATCTGTCACATTTAAGTTTGAGATTTTCATCTCTCTCTCTCTCTCTCTCTCTCTCTCTCTCTCTCATAGCATGTGCAAGTTTGTGTCTATGGGCCTGTGCCCCAAATCTTTTAAGTACCTAGCAATGCTCCTGGGTATATTGTAGCCCCTCATCCTTAGTATAGGCTAAGAAATGAAATCCAAATAAAGGAGGAGGCTAGATAACCCAAATGCATTAATTTTCCAACCCTAAATGCTTGAGTTTCTTTTGTCTGAACAGATCAATTTTATATATTAAGTCTGAACCTACCTCATAGAGCCATAGCTTCAAATTGATAGCTAAGTCAATAGTGAAAATATTACAATTCTTCTCCACGTTACCATTTTGTCCTCCAGGAAAACAACACAGGGAGAAAGTGGATTCTCTGAAAACTTTATATTTTTCAGCTATGGCAGAGCCATTCACATGCTGGGTTTTTTTATCTCAGCCCAGAAGCTATTTGCTTAGATCCGCCATATATTTTGGATTTACACTAGAAAGCTCATTCAACCTTAAAAGGCAAATAATCATCTCTGTGCAAAGAAGGTGATGACTAACAAAACGTTAATGCCTTGTTGCTGTCTAGACCCCTTTTGTCAAAAAAAAAAAAAGTATTTTCCTTGAAGCTAGGACAAAATTTGCTTTCTGTGTAAAGTCTTGGTCCCTGTTAGAATGAAACAGCTGGGAAACATGTGGTTTCCATTTCCCTCTATCACTTGTGGGGGGGGGGATTCACATGTAAATAAAACCAGCATTAAACTGTCACCCTTTGAACTCAGGATCGTATACAATATATAAATAAATCTGTGCAATGGGATTTTTGTATTGAACATCTTAAGCTGCATGTTGTTGTTGGAATAATAAATAATTAGCCGAATAATACCATTCCAAAAGCTTCTGAAGATATCCAGGTAATAAGTCAAACCTTATTCTGTTCCTTTCAAAATGTACTTTTTGGCTGTTTTGATAACAATGTTAGCACAGCTGCTTCTTGAAACAGAGTGTTTCTTAGAAGCTCAACTTGAGTGCAAGATAGATGCAACTGAAGCATTGCATTTAGTACACGCAATAAATCGAAGTGTGGCTCTGTGAAGAAACACTTTTACGAAGTCCAATCCTGCACATTAAAAGGTGACCGTCAGACAGTTTTGTGAGGCCTTCCTACTAAATGAAGTGAACTTTGATAAAATCAGCTAATACTTAGCATAGCAAGAATCCATTTGAATTCTGAAGAATGTGTGATAGGGAGAGATGATACATTTTGCAGGAGATCTGTGACCACCTCTCCCGACTTTTGTTTTAGAAATGAAAAGTGGCATTGGTGGGTTGTGAACAGTGCCGGATTTACATACAGTGGTACCTCGGGTTAATTTCTGTTCTCATCCTGAAGCAAAGTTCTTAACCCGAAGTACTATTTCTGGGTTAGCAGAGTCTGTAACCTGAAGCGTATGTAACCTGAAGCGTATGTAACCCGAGGTACCACTGTATAAGCTAAACAAGCTATAGCTTAGGGCTATAAAAGGGGAGGGGGAAACTGGGTGTACATTTCCAAAATATAAGATAAAAATATAAAACCTACACACAGCAAGTGTTTTGTGTTGTGTAGGCTCCTTTGATGTAGGTAATGCTAGCCTGCTCTCTAAAATATCATTGGTTTGCTCATTTCTATATCAATTACTTCAATAAAATACATATTTTGTTATGTGCAAATGGCTTTAGATACCTATTAGGTCCATAAATTACCATATAGCATATATTCAACACAAAAAAACAGTGACAATTTGTTGTTGACCAAGGACAGCTGGACATACAGGGTGAGTCTTTCAAAAGAGGCCCCGTGGAACATGTGTACTCTGTAAAAGCCTCTTGTAAAGGACTCACCCTGTATAAAGGGCCCCATTACCTTCAGTAGGTTTGGGCCTCATCAAACCGAAATCCGGCCCTGGTTGTGAATGTGGACATGGCAGCAGGGATGAGGCACTTAATCTTCTTTCATCCTTCTGCTTAGGATTGTGCCCCATTCTCCTATTTGTCCCATGGAGAGCAATGTCTCTATCCCTCTTTCTGTGAGGCAGGTAGCCTGGGGGAGATTTTGATCAAGAGGACTGCGTGAGAAAGAGCTAAACACCCTTTCCTTCCCTCCACCACCACGGAAAGCACATTCACAACCTTCTCCTCTGCTGCCTCTGCAGCTTCGTTTCAGAATCAGAAAAAAACGCTATTTGACCTTCAGGTTCAAAACTAGAATACAAGGCTGTGAATATTTTCTGATCATTCTCTATGAGCCAAAATTACGATCTAAATTTAATGTGGCTTCCACGGTTTTTCACGTTTCACCCTCCTGCCATGAATAGTGCTCTGTATTTCTGTCGCTTAATTTTTAGCAACCGGAACCTTGTGGTGTGCAAGGTGGTCATTAAAATACAAGGTATAGTTTCCCCCACGGTATTGTCACAGTACTTTAATTATGGGTAATTATGTTTCCAAGGTATCCTCTTTTCAAAGTATACAAGATAGGAAGAATGCATGCACGGGTGGTGATGAAATCGAATTCATTTGACGTTGCGTTTCTTGTGCTTTTTTTAGTTCCCAGCACGAATTGGAGTTCAGGAGTCTCGACGGTCCTTGGAAATGCACAAAAACCAACAGGCATTGCGGATATGTACAGTAAATTCAGACCGGTGAAGAGGGTTTCTCCCCTTAAGCACCAACCAGAGAACTCAGAAAATAATGAAAGTGATGACCAAAAGAACCAGAAGATGGAGTGCCAGAAAGGCAGTGACTCTCCACCTGCACCTCAGAACGGTGATCAACTTCCAGCTAATGGAGAGAGCCTTAAAACAAAATGCATTGAGCCTGGAGTTCTGCTTGGTGAGTTGGAGCACTACGACCTAGACATGGATGAAATTTTGGATGTGCCTTACATTAAATCAAGCCAGCAGCTAGCTGCTTTTGCCAAGGCTGCTCCAGAGAAACGGATTTTGAGTGTGTACTCAACGCTGAATGGTCTCAGTGGCAAGTCATGCCCAGCAGGGAACACAGAGAAGGCACCGACAGGGACAACACAGTTTTGTGTTCTGTCCCCTGTGAAAAGCTCCCAGCTGAGAAAAGGGCAGCCCATTGTCCCCGATCAGCACAAGCATTTAGCTGAAGAATTGGAGTCCCCCCAGCCGCTAGTGAAATGTGGTTTGGTCCATGAACCCGAAGCCCAGACCAAGGGCTTCCTCAACAGGACGTTGGCTGATAAAATGGAGAAGACGGTGCCCCGCTGTCAGTTAAAGACTTTTCATCTGCAGGCAGCAGCGCCAGAAAGCAAACAGGATGAACTAAACCTCAGTATGAACTGGAGCAGCCCCGGAGGTCCAGAAGAAAGGAGCGAGGACGTGAAGAAAAACAAGAGCATCTTAAATATTGTGAAAGAAGGGCAGATATCTCTACTGGTAAGTTTTTTAAGCGTTCAATTATTCATTCATAAGGCACACAGAGCAGGAGGGAAAAGTTGCCGTTGAGATTTTCCCTGGAGAAAACCACACATTTTAATTTGCAAAAAGGACATTTGTTGAAGGCAAGTTGCATGGGAATATAAAAACTCAAGATTATAAAAACTCAAGGATGGTTGATTTTAATGCAACTACTTAGCAGGGCGTGTATACGTTGCATCCTCCATTGTTGTTTTAAATCTTTTCAGAATGGCGGGGCTCCACTTATTCATTTATTAGTAGATTAACTCTGTTCCTACTCAGAGGCCAATAATAGTAACAGAGAGGCTTCTGTTGTGTGTTCTGATTAATATTCAAGAGTGTTTTCCCCATCTTATTGCAACAGCTTTCATGAACAGGAGCTCACACAGAAGCCCCAATTGGCCTCTGACCCACATGGAGATTTTAGCTAGTTACAGCTTTGTGATAAAACATCATTAAACGGCGTTTCCAGAGCAACTAGATGTAAGCTAACAAGGTTGGGGGGAAGCAAGCCTTATCTGCATTCATATTCATTACTTTGTGCCTACAGTACTTTTGTTTATGTTTTACCTACAGCTTTTACCTAAAGCAGGACAGAGACAGATCATGAATGCAGCAGCAAACACAAAAACAGAGAGCTTAAAAAAAAAGGAGCTAGTATTCAGTTGCACAATAATAATAAAAATAGTCAATTGTGAGACCAAAAAACTCTTGCTTTTTTCCTTTAAACCCATAAAGGAAAAATAAGAACAGTCCCTTCTTTTCTCTATATGAAAGTACTAAGTAGAAACTCAGATTGTAATGTATCCAAATATTCTCATCACAGTTTATTTTGCTTTTCCCTCTCAATTTGTTTCTTCAGCTATTTGTAATCTCTTGCTTTTTTTCTTATAATAATTATCAGGCATGGTATTTTCAGTCTAGTGCAACGCTTGGCCCAGTGGGATTCTCGTAGTTAATGCTTTATAAGATTTCTTGCTCCTTGAGACGAGCTGAAGTTTTCATATTGTAGTAAAGTGAAAAGCTGAAAGACATGTTGGTTCTGGAATGTAATATAGAAGATGCCATGCAAATAAAAAAATATGTTTGGGTCTGTTTCTAATGTCAAATATGAAGAGCAATCCTGTGGTAGAACTAGCTTGCATTTTCCTTTATCTGACGGATTAGTACACAAAGAGCAGTACAATACAATGTAACCTTATATTGTTTTACGGGCATTCCCTTAGGAACATAGGAACTGTCGTACTGCAGCAGATCAATATTCGTTCATGCCTATTCCAGATCTGCCTTCATAAAACTGAGTGACATTATACAATTAATTCAATCCAATGCTTCACCAGTCTGGAAGGAAACTCTAGGGTTGGGTTTTTTTTTCTTAATCCTCCAGGGCATTCCAATTATTTTCTTTCCTTTGTTTGAAACATTATAGATGTCTACTCCTTGACTTAGGATATTAGACAGCATGTCTCAAGCTCTAAATCATTATTTCCAATCTTTTGATTGTGCTCACATATTAAAGTTAGAAGGAGCTGAGGGAACTCACAAAGAATCTATCGGAATAACTCCGCTATTGGAGGAAAGCTTAGAACACTATAAATCCTAACTAGTGCCTTTTCAGAAGCATACTGTTGTGGGTGCCTTTTAAAGGACTATATAATATTTATCATAATTTAATTAGGAGTTTTAGGTACAGAAAGGAGGATAGGATTACATGATGTATCACATAAATATACTGTACAGAATCTATGTAGATCCACTTCTGTTTTTTTGTTATTTTGCTAAGAATTCTTATAACCATGGTGGTACACAGCCAGGTTCTTGACTCCCAGCAGGGATGTGTATATGGCCAATTACTACAGCAGTTATTTGTATCAGTTAATGACTGTAATGCTTGGAAAACTTTTAAAATGGGCTGTAATGAAACAGCACTCTATGCAAATCCAAGTAGTTCTGATATTGCCTATCACAAAAGAGAGACTCCATAAACAAAGCCTCTAATCACCCCTGGAGCCAAGGCTCAGAAAGAGTCGCTTCCATATAGCAAGGAACTCTTAAATCCATACAGCAAGAGTAGGGTGGAGGTTAGAAGAATACATCAATGGAAGTGATACAGGACACAGTTCTTAGAGTCTCTTCCAACAGATCTTAGTCAGAAAGATATGCAAAGTCAGAAAGGTGCTCAATGATTTAGCATTATTAGTGCATCCCTAATGGGTTATTATGGGACGTGGGTGGCGCTGTGGGTAAAACCTCAGCGCCTAGGACTTGCCGATCGAAAGGTTGGCGGTTTGAATCCCCGTGGCGGGGTGCGCTCCCGTTGCTCGGTCCCAGCACCTGCCAACCTAGCAGTTCGAAAGCATTCCCGGGTGCAAGTAGATAAATAGGGACCGCTTACTGGCGGGAAGGTAAACGGCGTTTCCATGTGCGGCTCTGGCTCGCCAGAGCAGCGATGTCACGCTGGCCACGTGACCTGGAAGTGTCTCCGGACAGCGCTGGCCCCCGGCCTCTGGAGTGAGATGGGCGCACAACCCTAGAGTCTGGCAAGACTGGCCCGTACGGGCAGGGGTACCTTTACCTTTTTTACTAGTGGGAAGGTAAACGGTGTTTCCGTGTGCTGCGCTGGCTCGCCAGATGCAGCTTGTCACGCTGGCCACATGACCCGGAAGTGTCTGTGGACAGCGCTGGCCCCCGGCCTCTTAAGTGAGATGGGTGCACAACCCTAGAGTCGGACACAACTGGCCCGTACGGGCAGGGGTACCTTTACCTTTAATGGGTTATTTGGGTTATCCACAACAAATAAATAGCATCTGTATTTGGGTGTGTTTGTTTGCTGTGTGGACAGTGGTACCACTAAGACTGGACTAATGGCCACATGTCTGGGGCCCCATGCATCCCTGAGGTCCCTCAAACACTCCAGCAGCCCCATGGCTATAAGGGGTCTTTATTATTCTTTCAATGCTGTGTAATAAAAATTCTACCTGCATCATACTCATCATTGCAGCAGCACAGAAGTCTCATGCTGGCTTCTAGCCAGGCAGGCACTTCCCAGGCTGCCCTCCTGAGCATCCCACGAAATTCTGCCACAGAAAGCTCTGCATTCCTGTGAGTACATGCAAGACTAGACTTCTTTTAAAGCCTTGCACACACACTTGCAGCAGCGCAGGGCTCTGTGTGCCGGCTGTCAGCCTGGCAGCACTTCCCGGGAATGCCATGTGAATCCATGCCATCACATAGTCAAGTGGGCATGTGGTGATTTTACTACATAAAGAAAACTGACACTCTGTACAGTAAAATAAGGCAGGCAATTCGGCCTGCACCCTACTCAAGGAGGGAGAAGGATAGAGCAGTCAAAGTGAGCAGAGGGATGGGGCAAAAAGCACGTTTTCCAGGGCCACCTCAAACTTGTCCGTACATCTGTCTGTTGATTATTTTTACGAGGCTCTCATAGTCTATATCTTTATCTTTGTCTGTAAATTAAATGTGATCAATGAAATAAAACTGAGACTGGTGCATTTCCTTTGCCAATGGTTGTACTCAGTCTCTCTCTCTCTATATAGACATATACACCATAGATAGATAGATAGATAGATAGATAGATAGATAGATAGATAGATAGAGTTTGCTAACTTGATGACCTCCCTATGTTGCTCCCATAACCCCCAACCATTGGCCGTGCTGTTTGAGGTTGATGGGAGCTATAGTTCAAAATATCTGGAAGGGACCATCTTGGCTTACCCCTGGTCTATGTGATGTGCTGGTCCTTCTAGCAACCTAAAAAAAAGGTAAATATAGGTCTCCTAGAATGGGCAGTTGTAGAAGCCAACTAGGTAGCCAACAGGCCATTCAATCAGTATTTTATTTATTTGCAGACACATAAACCTTAGTAGCTGCTAAAATGGGCTCACATGGAATTAAATTACTAACTCTCCCATGTCGTCTTTTGCACAGCCCCACCTCGCAGCTGACAACCTGGACAAGATCCACGATGAAAACGGCAACAACCTTTTGCATGTTGCCGCATCACAGGGGCATGCAGAATGCCTACAGCATCTCACCTCTCTGATGGGCGAAGACTGCTTGAATGAGCGCAACAGCGAGCAGCTAACCCCTGCTGGCTTAGCAATAAAGGTAGTGTGACTTCCTACGGTGTCTAAAGGCCAAACTCAAAATTGGCCTGGGAACCCAGTTACTTTCCAAACTTTTAAAAAACAGTGTTGTGGGGAGAGAGGAAGTGTTGTTTAAACTTGTTGCAGAACACACACCAGCACACAGACACACGCCGCCCTACGCTCTGCAGAAGCTTTCTGTCAGGGGTAGGGAAAGGGTGAGCCTGACATGGTCAAAATGGCATCACAGGCCATTATGCAGAGCTGGCTAAATTGACATACAAACTCTGAGAAAAGGACAACTGTGACTTTAAAGAAGAATGGGAACTTTTCACAAATTACTTAAAAAGACAACAAAATGAACTGGACTCCTTGGCAGGTTTTGAATAAACATACACAAATTTATTGATTGATAACATGGTAGAATAGAATAGAATAGAATAGAATAGAATAGAATAGAATAGAATAGAATAGAATAGAATAGAATAGAATAGAATAGAATTTATTATTTATACCCCACCCATCTGACTGGGTTTCCCTAGACACTCTGGGCAGCTTCCAACAAAGTATTAAAATACAGTGGTCTGTTAAACATTAAAAACTTCCCTGAATAGGGCTGCCTTCAGATGTCTTCTAAAAGTCTGGTAGTTGTTCTTCTCTTTGACATCTGGTGGGAGGGCGTTCCACATGGTGGGTGCCACTACCGAGAAGACCCTCTGCCTGGTTCCCTGTAAGAAGACAGATAATGTAAGGATTCATATAATTTTACAACATGCAGAGAATAATACGTGTTGAGAAATCAGAGAGAGGAGCTGAGGGAAGTCTCTGGGGGAGGGGAGAGGGGTTGAGGGGGTGGGGAGCAGGGAAAAAAATTAATATGATATGTTTTGATATGTTGTTATGTTGAAATTATTAATAAAAATATTTTAAAAACAAAAACAAAATCGTATCACAGGCTAATTAGCCTGTTGGGCTAGTTAGACCTGAAAGCCAGAGATTCCCTACCACTGTAAATGATAGCATGTTGTTGGAAGTAAACAATGGAGTGCCATTGTAGGGATAACGAAGATGGGCGATGATCTGGCAGCAGTAAATAGTGATGACTTCTGAGTGGAAATTGAGGCAGGCAGTGAGGGGCGGTACACTCTTCCTGGCGGATGTTGCTAAGGGGCAGCAGAGTCAAAGTTGGAATGATCAGCATTCTGTAGGCATGCAGCTGGCCAGCACTGCCTCTGTGCAGGTTTGGAACAATACCTGAACAGCGCTGAACGCACCACAGACCTCCTTCTAGTGCTACTGTGTGGCACCCACTGTTTCTACTACTTATTTGATTTATATCCTGCCTGCCCACTAGTAAAAGTTTTCAGCCCATAAAAACATACATAAGATGTGACTACAGTAGCAAGAATGTTACTTGCCCAAAGATGGAAAGAAGAAAAAGTCCCAGCAAAGGAAGAATGGATACAAAAACTTATGGAATATGCAGAAATGGTGAAACTTACTGGAAGAATAAGAAATCAAGATAACAAACTTTTTATAAAAGAATGGAAATGGTTTGTTGTTGTTGTTTTTGACGTTATAACATAAAAACTTTATTAGGGCCAAAATTCACAATGTGGTTACAAAGAACCGTTCCTACGGTTGCCAATATTTTGAACTAGGGGCCTTGTAGCTATAACTCTAACAGTAGTTTGATCTCCAGTAATGAGTACAGGAGGGACGCAGGTGGCTCTGTGGTCTAAACCACTGAGCCTCTTGGGCTTGCCGATCAGAAGGTCGGCAGTTCGAATCCCGTGACGGGGTGAGCTCCTGTTGCTCGGTCCCTGCTCCTGCCAACCTAGCAGTTCGAAAGCACCCCAAAAAGTGCAGGTAGATAAATAGGTACCGCTCCGGCGGGAAGGTAAACAGCGTTTCCGTGCGCTACTCTGGTTCACCAGAAGTGGCTTAGTCATGCTGGCCACATGACCTGGAAGCTGTACGCCGGCTCCCTCGGCCAATAAAGTGAGATGAGCACCACAACCCCAGAGTTGGTCACGACTGAACCTAATGGACAGGGGTCCCTTTACCTTTTATATAAGAGTATATAGCTAAAGAAGTTAAATAAATGAGAAAGTTACGTTAATTTGGACTTGCCGAAGATATTAAAAATAAATTTAAGGAACTGCAGAAAGAGGGGGAAGGAAGTCAAGTTTCAAAATGTTAAGGTGACTGTAAAATCAGTAAATGTATATATCTGAAAAGTATAAATAAAAATTCATAGATAACAAGAAGAAGAAGGACCTGCTGGACCAGGCCAATGGCCCATCTAGTCCAGCACCATGTTTTTACGGATGCCTGTGGGAAACCAAGAAGCAGGATTCAAGGTCAAGGGCACCCACCTCTCCTGTGAGTTAATTGGTGACCATTCGTTGCCTGGTTGGTTGTCATCACTGGCTGCTGCTTTTTATTTTTGGTTTTGGGAGAGTTTTTTAAGCAAACCATTGTGAGATCCATGTTTGTTCCAAGCAACATTCTTTAGAAGCAGGTCATTCAAGCAGCTTCAGTGAAAGATCAACTGCAACCACAGATCATCCGTTTTATATCACATACCTGTGACAATTTGCCATCCACACCTTAGGGGGTTCCACTATGATTCCACGGTGCAACAATATGCTAACTGACTCAGGTTTGTTTTGGTGGGTTTTTTTTGAAAACCCTTATTTCCAGAATCAGACCTGAGGCACAAGTTGATTATGCTGTAATAATATGAGTATATTAAGGAAGATAAATGAGATGAAAGGTACATATGTGAAGGCTGCTGATACTCCTGGGTTTTTCTTATGCAGCGTCTACTTTAATGTGCCACATCCAGAGCTGAAACGTCTTAGATATCAAAACCACTTTGGAATATCACATGAAGGTAAACATTTACCTCTTGTGGAGAACAGCAGGCAACCTGTCAGAAACAAAAATAATTAATGTCATCTGGAAGAAAGTTCAGACTACAGGAAAATCTGTAATACAAGAAAACACTACATTTTATAGCACTGCTGTGCCCTTGTAAAATACAGTGGTGTGCACAGGAAGGACAATGATGGAGTTAAACTTCTCTTGGGATATTCTGAAAATGAAGCAAAATAAATGAAGCAAAATACTGGGGCCACTTTCGCAGGGTGAAAGCAAGAGGTTCTGGAAAAAGCACAAAATAGGAATGGCGGGCTCCTTAACTTTTATCTCCCTTTTAGGAAAAGTTTGGAAGTATGTTCAGGTCTGATCTCTGGTGGAATCCAAGGCTGTGGTCATGAGAGAAGTAAGACCCCCTTGGGGTGTTAATACTGTGAGCCCTTTCATTGTAGGATCAGGTTGTCTATATGTGTAACTAAGCCATATATCATAAAGACACCACAGTCTCCGCTGTTCCTCATTCCCAGGAAACTGAACCCTGGGTAAGGAATCCCTGGAATCTCACATGGCTCAGAGATTGGGGTGGTGTGCAAGAGTATACTTACTCAAAAGTTACTCCTGGTTACTTGTGTTTAGGATTATAAATGAAGGATCCCAATCTATATTCACTTACCTAGGAGTAAGCTTGATTGAATTTCTAAGTGGCGGTGTATTTGATTGCACCGTGTTGTTAATTATGTTATTCAAATTTATAATATCAATGCATCTGCCTCTCTACTCTTGTGTTCTGTTGTCTTCTGTTCCCTCATCTACATTTTTAAAACTATGTGAGCATTTTTGATACATAAAACTATGTGAGGATTTTTATGTACAGTGGTGCCCCGCAAGACGAAATTAATTCGTTCGCGACAATTTTTGTCGTCTACGCGAATTTTTCGTCTTGCGAAGCACGGTTTCCATAGATGCATTGAAATCAATTATGCGTTCAGGGAAACCGCTTGCCAGGCTGGCGGTGCGGAGAGGGCTTTCTCCCCACGCAAGCCTCAGCACAGTACGGAAAGAGGGAAGGCGCGCAGCGCTTTCCCTGTTCCCGGGCTTGCGATGGAGGAGGGTTTTTCTCCCATGCCACATCAGAACAGCATTCTGATGTTGGCGTGGGAAGAAACCCTATCTCCACCAAGTCTTCAGGACACATCAAGGTGGCGCTAGGTCTCTCCGCCCCCCCCCCACGCCAGGCTTCGGTGGATCTCAGAGGCTGCTGCATAGTCACGCGCTTCTCCAGCTGGGAGAGGGTCGCGGGACTATGGTTTCTTTAGCCCCGCGCGCGCTCTCCCGGCTGGAGAGGTGACGGGCGCCTATGGAGGTTCCTGCCATATGCGCGCGTCACAACTCCAGCTGGGAGAGGGTCGCGGGGGCTGGTTTAGCCCCGCGCGCGCTCTCCTGGCTGGAGAGGTGACGGGCGCCTATGGAGGCTCCTGCCATAGGCGCGCGTCACTTCTCCAGCTGGGAGAGGGTCGCGGGGGGCTGGTTTAGCCCCGCGCGCGCTCTCCCGGCTGGAGAGGTGACGGGCGCCTATGGAGGCTCCTGCCATAGGCGCGCGTCACTTCTCCAGCTGGGAGAGGGTCGCGGGGGGCTGGTTTAGCCCCGCGCGCGCTCTCCTGGCTGGAGAGGTGACGGGCGCCTATGGAGGTTCCTATGGAGCTGTTCCTGGAACAGCTTTCCGAAGTGGGGCGGCTGGGGCAGATGTCCCCGCCCCCCCTCCCCGCTTCGGAACAGCTTTCCGAAGTGGGGCGGCTGGGGCAGGTGACCCCGCCCCCCCGCCCCACTTCGGAACAGCTGCAAAAGACGTCAGGGGGAAGCGGGGAAGCGAAGCGCTTCGCTTCCCGCTTCCCCCGACGTCTTTTGCAGCAAGGGGCTGGGGGGAGATCGCTATCTCCCCCCAGCCCCTTGCTTCAGAAGAGGTCCGGGGGAAGCGGGGAAGCGAAGCGCTTCGCTTCCCCGCTTCCCCCGACGTCTTTTGCAGCAAGGGGCTGCAGGGAGATCGCTATCTCCCCCCAGCCCCTTGCTTCAGAAGAGGTCCGGGGGAAGCGAAGCGCTTCGCTTCCCCGCTTCCCCCGACGTCTTTTGCAGCAAGGGGCTGCAGGGAGATCGCTATCTCCCCCCAGCCCTTGCTTCAGAAGAGGTCCGGGGGAAGCGGGGAAGCGAAGCGCTTCGCTTCCCCGCTTCCCCCGACGTCTTTTGCAGCAAGGGGCTGCAGGGAGATCGCTATCTCCCCCCAGCCCCTTGCTTCAGAAGAGGTCCATTATGGTGTTCTATAAGCCATCCTGACGGGACTCCATCCTGAAAGGCAACTTTTTAATAAAAAGAACTAAAATAGGGATTTTTTAATAAAAAAAGAAATCGTATGAAATGTAGATGAGAGAACAGATGACAATAGATTACGAATGGGATGAATATGAAATAAACAGGTATTTGCAAAGGGATATATGCAGGATTTGTAGGAATTTCAGAAGGGACGTCATTAAGCAAACACTGCTGCTGTATCCAAGACTGTTTTTATATTTAAGCCCCGTAGAGCTAAATAAAAATTGTGTTTCAGAAATGACCTGTGAATTGCAGCGCCTGTAAATAGGCCTACCCTACAATCACTGCTATTACAATGTTTAATAGAAAATATGTTTCCCACGCACATACTGTACACACAAAAAGTTTCAAAATTAAGTATAAATGTTCCAAAGAAATTACATCTTCATTTTCTTCTCTTTAGAATGGTCAGCTGGAGTGTGTGAGATGGATGGTGAGTGAAACAGAAGCCATTGCAGAATTAAGTTGCTCAAAAGACCACCCAAGCCTTATTCACTATGCAGGTTGCTATGGGCAGGTACAGTTACATTTTGAATTCTTGTTTTAATTTAATGCAATGTGTGTTAGTCTGACCATTGAGATCCCTGGAAGGGGCATTTCTTATAACCTTCGGGCAATGTCAGAGGGGTGATGATGATCCCAAACTAGGGCCTTCTTGGTTGTGGCACCCTCTTTGTCTCTAGTGATGCATTGTCTTTGTTTTTCCTATTTCGCTGATTACTTAACATGTACCTTTTTATCCATACCTTCACAGAAATGGCCAAAGTTGTTTTAAGGTCCTCTTTGAGACCTATGATTTGCTGAATAATTTATTATCTCATTGAGGCCAAAATTATGTGTTAGTTCTATGGATTTCATTAGTCATGTTCTTTTATTAGTTGTTTGTGATTATGTATTTTATATTGCCTTTTTATGAAAAGCAATGAATGCATGAATAAAAGATAAATCACTCAGGTTGCCCATACAATAAGTTATTTTTTACCCTTATCCATAAAAAGTTAAATTTTGAAATGTGGTCTGTGCCAGTCATAGATAGAGGGGTTTTTTTAATACACTGAGAGGATTTGCATTTCCCCCCAATTTTTTTTCAAGTATTGGGAACTATAGAAACAAATATTGAGTAATTTTAACATACATGCATTTGCTAGACACTTTCCAACCTTATGCAAAGTTGCTCAAGCAAAAGATAGCCCGTGTAAACACCAGACTTGGCTGCAATGCAAGGGAAATATTTTTATAAAGAAGAAGTGTTTTTGAATGGATTCAACGTACAATTATTTCCTCTAGCACTTGGCACATATGGTACCTGTTTTTTAAGTAAATACTTCCTATGATGGAGAAGGCATGAGAAAAAAGGCAGCCAAAGAATAGGCCCATTGATGTCGATGTTGTCCTACAATGCTCGTACAGGATGTTTTATTCTTGAGAAAAACTTGCCCTGCCTCAGTTCCAAGTCTGTCTTCAGAAATATCCTTGAGCCGAAAAAATGGTAAATGAGCCAACTGAGTTGTTGCCAAGTGTGAGATCAGGAAGAGATGGGGATCAAGCATATCTCCAAGAATGTGTGTATCTCTAGACTCTGAATTCAGTTAATACTTTTTAAAACAAAAACAAAAAAAAGCGCTATTTATTTTCTACTTGAACTTTCTGCCAAACAAGCAGACTTTCAAAACACATCTTGACCCCAGCAGGGCAAAGTTTGTCATGTTCGGAACTTGAGTATTTTTCATTTACAACTCAAACCTACAGCAAAATGTTGCAATGCGGCCTTACCTTTCCAACATTTCTCCAGTGGAAACAGGGATGTCCTAAGAAAAAGTGGGACATTCTGGGATCAAATCAGAAACCAGGACAGATTCTGTAAATCCAGGACTGTCCCTGGAAAATAGGGACACTTGGAGGGTCTACTTCTAACAAATGTGTTCCTGTTCAGAGTTCCAGGCAATGAACCATGTTCTCCTCCAGGACACTAAATTCTCCTATCTCCCCAGCCTTCCCTTTCTCAATTAGAATAGAACATATACTGGGAGTAGATCTCAGCTGGACACGCCTGGCCTTTGGTTATTGAGCATGCTCAGTCTTTGCTGACTGTGGGAAAACTACCCCCCACCCTTTTGGGGTTTTAACAAGGCTTTTTTAAAATGACTGCTGCTCTCTTTGGGCTTCCCCTGAACATGCAGATACCTCCCTCTTGTTTCTCTGTGTCTCTCTTTGGATGCCGTATGTGTTAGCAGGAACCACCTGACTTCTTTGTGAGATGGAGTGATTAATTCAAAATTCCCAGGGAGTGTTGGTTTTATATATATTAGACATGCCATTCAGTTAAAGATGGTTGATTCATCATATGAGTTTTAGTCAATAAATTCATCAATAAATCAATTAAGGCTGGAATCCGAGAAGTACTTGCCCTGGAATTCAACAGGGCTTACTTCTGAGTAGACATGTTTAAAATTGCATTGTAAATTGGCCTTTGGAGTGGGGGGACACATTTTTAAAAGGTATACTATTTCCTTTGTTTTAGATAATGCAAGACTGCATTGCAGTTGATAGCATCTTTGAAGAGGCATTGTGCCTTCTCTCACACACAGGAGAAAAAGAATCTCCTAAAATAGAACTTAGTAGTTGTGCTAATATGGGACATGGGTGGCGCTGTGGTCTAAACAACTGAGCCTCTTGGGCTTGCCAATCAGAAGGTCAGTGGTTTGAATCCCTGCAACGGGGTGAGCTCCCGTTGCTCGGTCCCAGCTGCTGCCAGCCTAGCAGTTCAAAAGCACGCCAAAAAGTGCAAGTAGATAAATAGGTACTGCTCTGGCGGAAAGGTAAACGGCATTTGCACTTTGACGTGCTTTCGAACTGCTAGGTGGGCAGGAGCTGGGACCAAACAACGGGAGCTCACCCCGTCACAGGAATTCGAACCGCCGACCTTCTGACCGGCAAGTCCTAGGCTCTGTGGTTTAACCCACAGCACCACCCGTGCCCCTTAAGGCCCATAAGGTTGTCCAAATACCTGCCTTGGTTTCACCTGCTTCACTGATTGCTTTTGCCAATGTGTGGCTTATGTGAGAATGGCCCATTTTGTGTACGTTAAACCATGGTTTTGAAGTTGACTTTTCCCAACTCATCATCATTAACAATGGCCACAGTTTAGAGCTTGGGCAACACACTAAACTTTGGTTAATCTCCTTATAGTCATGCCAAGAGAGTGGGGAAAGCAAGACTGAGACTTGTTGAGGCTCATTCTTGTAACAGAAAGGCTGCTAGCCTAACTCCTCTTACCTGGGAGTAAGCCCCATAGGACTTAGTTAGCAATGCGCTCCTAACTATCACATTTTGTCCAGGTCATCCCAATGAAAAATAAGTAGCTTAAAATATATTTCTGGTATATTGAAATCAATTGAGAATCTATACTTTTCTGTATTTGACATTTCTGGAGTTTAAGAGCTGCCTGAGAACTTGCTGTGTGTGTTTTGTTTGTTTTAAATTTAAATTTATTTAATATTAAAATGCAAATTGTAGAATTCTTCCAGAAGCAAAATGGGGGAAAATAAAGTGTGGTGGAAGTAGGGATCAAAAATACAGAAAATGCAATACAGTAAAAATATAGAAGGCACAGGAAGGGGAGAATTGCAGTAGCTTATGGGAAGGCTGCAGAATTTTGAGGACTCCCTATTGAAAAAATGACCAATTTTCCTTTGAGAAGTCAATATCTAAGATCTACTCCATAAGGTAGCCCTCAAAAACTGCAACTCTCCAATACATTATGGTGGTCTTTTATCACCCAGCTCTTCACCAGTCCCTTATTCATCACTTGCCCTAGCACTTTCAATCAATTCATTTGCTCTCCCAAATGCTGAACAAAAAGGGAAGGAAGGAAGGAAGGACATTTCAACCAGCAATTTTTATCCACAAATATTACCTACCTGTACCAATATTTTGTGTATACTTAATATATGAAGCCCAAACCTTTGCATGTTCGCTTAGGAATAATTCAGTGGGGCTTACTCTTAACTAATTGAGTTTACAATTGCAGAATGAGAATGTTTAAGGATCTTACTAAAGCTCAAAGTGATCTGAGCAGCATCTAAGATGGGATAAGAAAGGATACCTAAGGCAGTTCCTCAGTTAGAGTCTGCAGTGCAACTGCTATGTAAATGTATCTTGGAACATATTCCATAATTATAAATACCTTCAACACAGAAGAAGATGGCAGCCACCTTTCAATTTTTTATTTTTTATTTAAAAAAAAACCTTTTCTCTCTCTATGTGTGTAGGAGAAAATCCTTCTGTGGCTACTTCAGTTTATGCAAGAACAAGGGATTTCTTTAGATGAAGTTGATCAGGATGGCAACAGTGCGGTCCATGTAGCTGCCCAGCATGGGTATCTGGGATGTATACAGGTAAAAAATAAGAATCTACATTTATTTCAGATGGTTGTTCTAAGTGAAAAATCCATAGTAGCCCGTTACACAACACAGAGTACTAACCACTATATGATACGACGTGTGCTGGAGATGCAACAATGGGGCTGGCACTATCTTTAAAGAATACCTTAAAAACTATGTGGAGAAGGTAGATCTCCTGACAAACAGTGAATGAATCTGGAAAATAAAGAAAATATTACGAACTTAGCTTGGAAGATATTTGGAAGAATAGAACATTCAAAATGAAATGCATAGAGATTAAAGAAATGTAAACTAGCACAAGAAGAATGGTTGGAATTCAATTCACTGTGGGTCCGTTCACGTTGGGTATGTATATAGGTAATGTATGTTTTGTAGATATGTATTGTATTGTTTGATATATGTATTGTATTGTATGTTTATAGATTCTGATGTACAATAGAGGTATTTAAAACCAATAAAACCCCAAAAATATAGTAGTCTGTTACATGGAAACAGAAGATCAGTTATATCAGAAGGCCCCATTCACATATACCGTAGCTTTCGCTCTATAAGACGCACCAGACCATAAGACGCACCTAGTTTTTGGAGGAGGAAAACAAGAAAAAAAATATTCTGAATCTCAGAAGCCAGAACAGCAAGAGGGATCACTGCGCAGCGAAAGACGCTCCGTAAGATGCACACACATTTCCCCTTACTTTTTAGGGGAGGGGAAAAGTGAGTCTTATAGAGCAAAAAATATGGTACTTTTAAAATTGTTTAGTGCTACGTGCATGAGCAATACCTCAAGCTCATGTGCTTTCCCTTCTTCTCACCTGCACCCATGTGACCAGTGTTTAGCTTCACTTTCCACAGTTCCTGGCTTGCTGTTGAACACAAACTGGGGCCATACTGCCTGCGCTTACAGGGGGGGGACCCAGCCGGCCAACACAGCCCTTGGCAGATGTATCCCGCCCCCCAACACTGCCCAAGCAGCCATTCAGCAAGGGGACCAGGGGTGCAGCAGCAAGGCCAGGCATGAACAGCATGTGCTCTGCTGAGCTGCAACCCCTCCCCTGCCTGAAGCTGGCTTGTCTTGAAACTGACTGGAGTTTGTGATAAATCACGTCCTCCCTCAAAGAGGACACGTGTTGCGTTGCGACCTGGCAACCAAACCCTGTGTTATGGGTGGGTACGATTGGATAGCCACAACACTCTATTGGTAGTTCCCTCGATGCTGGGTTTAATCGGGCCAATGGGACGCTAGCCAAATGGATCGAGGGACCTATATATGCCCATGCACGTGACCCTGAGCTTCCTCTTTGGGCCAGTGCATCGGAACACCTGCCCACCTCTCCCTATATTTAGGGCTTGCACTTGACCTTGCTATGCTGTCGTGTGTTGTCTGTCGTTGGGACAGGGGCATGGCAGGAATTTTTCCCACTTGGCTGATTGGCTGTTGCATTTGGGTTTTGCCTGCCACGTAGCAAATCGTCACAACTTGTAAGGTTGCGGATAGGCTCTGGTTCAGGTGATAGGGATGGGAGAACGCTCTCGCCATCCCTATGTGAAGGGTATTCCGTTAAAGGAATCCAGGGACTCGATGGTTTGGTCAACCCTTAGAGGGGGTTGTGCCCGTGCCTGAGTCCAGGGGGACATCTGGGTGGTGGACTAGCCTGGCCTCGGCTTTCCACTGTTCCAGGTGTTCACCCTAGGCTGACCTATGCTGGTGCCCTGGGTCAGCGCTACCTGCCACGGTGCAGGGAGCTAGTCGAACCAGAGCCTATGCAACCACTCACTTGATGTAATCAATAAAGTTGTGGCCTAAATTTTGCCAAAAAACAAACCAAAATTTGTGCCTTGTCTGAATTTATTTAAGGGGGAGGTTAAAAGGTCTAAACACATAAAATGCAGCTTCTGGTTCATATGCAACAACAATCCAGGATTTTGTGGGAAGTGAAACTTAACACTGCAGAAGTTTATCTCCTGGCCGTGTGGGACGAGAAGGAGGAGTGTGAGCTGGAGGCTTTGCTGGGGGTCTTGCCCATAGCACTAAACCATGATTTAGCATCGTTGTTGATGTCATTCATTGTACTTTTAAGAGATGCATACATCATATAAGCACATTGAATGGAGGCGGGGGCATGTTTTTCACTGATTCCTCCTTCCATCTGTAGCCCCTCTGTCATTTGGAGATGCACACAGACCTCCACCCAGGCATGAAGAGGCGTAATCACAATTCAGAGACACATTCCACCAAGACACATTCCACCCAATCAAATAAGGAGGGCATGGAGCAGGGCCTGCAAAATGCGTAGTCTCTCAAGAGGGGATGTGGCTTGGAGAGAGTCCAAGGGCCTGGAGCTTTCCAGTCCCTGCTCTAGATGCAGGGAGAACTCACACATTTCTCTACAGGGGAAATATGAGTGTGGCTTCGTCCTTCGGACAGTTTTACAGGATATGTGAGGGAGACACTTTTGCATGTTCTCTCCCCTCTGCATTTGGGAGGATCCAAAAATGTTCCAGGAATGTGGTGGCATGTGAGATCTTTAATTTCGTCTTAACCACCTACCCATTGTTTATTCTGCAATTCTGTAACCCATAATAATAGTGGCACCAGACAAACACGGCAGCAAAACCTTAGTCATCTAATTATGAACAGAAATTGCAAAGCACAGGAGGGAAAATATAATATATTTTTGTTGATTGACTATCTGCACTGCTCAGTCATGCAGGCAGCTCAGAGTCTATACACTTTAAGAAAACAAACACCTTCAGGTAATCAAAGTTTCCATGGATCCCAAATTTAAGTCATTCTGCAAGATTTTGTTTTTGGAATTTTTAAAGCTACCCACAGAGCAGATTGCACTCCAAATATTTCATTGCATAATTAATAATTTAGTTGCAGCATCTACAGTATCACCAGATTTATCGAGTCCTGAGCTTATCACATGAGCAAACCATCTGAACTAGCACAGAATCAAAATCTGATATGACTGCTAATTAGGATAGCATAATTTCAGCTCATTTGTACACTGCTTAAAGTAAGGGTTTGTGGTGGTGGAGAAATGAAATGTAGGAATCAGTCCAGCCCTCTGGCTGGCAGTAGCAGGATTTGACTGCTGCTCCCACAGCAACTGCCATGTCCCCAAAATAGCTTATCCTCATCAATTAATTTGTATAATCCTAAAAAATATATTAACTGATTTGAAATGTAGACATCTAGACAGTCATAAATCAATAACATTTCAGTACAGGTCCATATTTTCCTTTAAAATTGATTTAATAGCTATAAATGTTGTCCATAAATGTAAGTGTACAAAATTTGCAAGTTCACAATCAGACCAACAATATACAGTCATACCTCTAGTTGAAGTTGCTTCAGGTTGAGCGCTTTCGGGTTGCGCTCCGCGGCGACCCGGAAGTAACGGAACGCGTTACTTCCGGGTTTTGCCGCTCGCGCATGTGCAGACGGTCAAAATGACTCCTCGCGCATGCGCAGAAGTGGCAAATCGTGACCCGCGCATGCACAGATGTGGGTTGCGTTTACTTCAGGATGTGAACGGGGCTCCGGAACGGATCCCGTTCATATCCAGAGGTACCACTGCATTTACAACGAACTGCTCACTGCTTGTAAAACAGGAAAAGGGTTGCCAGTTTTAGTACTCGGTTTTGCGTGTGAAAAAGACTTCTATTCTTCCTCAAATCTATTTATATTTCTTTTCTCTTATATACGAGGTAATTTGATTCAGCTTCTCTCAGTCCCAAAGCTTAATATACCATTCTTTTAATCAGAGCATCTCGTCTTCCCCAGTATTTCACATGTCTTGGCTGCCAGTGTTATGCATAGCCCTTTTTAAAACCCATCTAGTCTGGTCCCTGTTACCATATATCATGGGAGTGGGACTTCCCTTCTGCCTATGAAGAACCTAGTGCCTCTGAAGGTAACTGTTCCTGCTAATAGACCTATACATGTATATATTTTAGACTCTGGTTGAATATGGAGCAAATGTCACTATGCAAAACCATGCTGGAGAAAAACCTTCCCAAAGTGCTGAGCGCCAGGGACACACCATGTGCTCACGTTACCTGGTTGTGGTGGAGACGTGCATGTCGTTGGCATCCCAGGTTGTGAAGTTAACGAAACAACTGAAAGAGTAAGTTTTCATTCATAATAGTGGGATTATAACTGTTTGTGTTTTTTTTAAAAAAAAGTTATGTCAACATGTCCAGGTGCTGGTTAATGTAACATTTGAATAGAACAGTGTTTCCAAAATTTGGGTTCCTAATTGTCTACAACTCCCATCCTCCCTGGCTAGCAGCACCAGTGGTTAGGCATAATGGGAACTGAAGTCTAAAAACCCAGCTGGAAACCCAAGTTTGAGAAACCCTGGAAAAGAAGGTGCATCCCATTAAAATAAACCATGGACACACAGTGAGAACCATTAGCCAACTGCATGTCTGCTGTGCGTTGCATATTCCCCTTTAAACTTGACCTTACGTTCACCTTGTAACACCTGTGGGGGCATAATGAAAGTACATTCCTTGTATAAACAGTAAAATGGATCTTGAGTTCAATGGGGCTTTCTCACAGGTAAGTGGTACGATTGGCAGCCTCATTTTCTCTCCCCCATTTTATCCATTCATACATCAAACGTCTGTGGTTCTGCTTTCATCTGCCATCCCGCTGCCTGTGTGCAAAATTAAAGTGTAAAACATTTACATGTTCATGACTAACCACTTGCCTATTGTTCTGATTGTAAAAGCTTTTTTCTCGAGGGTCTGGCATCGCCCTCCCAACATTCAGACGGAACAGTAGCTAAGTGCTAAATGTAAGAGACCCAGAGGTTCTTTTCTCACACACTGAATTGGCATGGGCTGGTTTTCCCATGTCCAGCTGTGCTCCTTTCTAAAGAAGCAGTTTAGACCAGCAGGCACTTCCAATGGCTAAAGTAGTGGCTTCAACTAGGCAAACAAGAAGTGGAGGCATCCCAGCCGGAGCAAAAAGGCTGCTGTCAAAAAGGAGAATAGCGCTGGTCCTGGATAAATTATTTACTTATTTATCAAATGTCTACTACGCCACCCTTCCTCTGAAAATCACAGGGTGCTTTGCAATATAAAAAAATACAAAAACACATACCATAATAATTGCAAGAACAACAGCCCCCTGCTCACAATTTAAAAGGCCGTAGATTGTTTAATTAGCTAGAGGCCTGGGAGGAGGAAAATGTTTTTGCCTGGCACCTAAAGGTATGTATGATGGTTCTGAGCTGTTTAAGACTTTATGGGTCAAAAAAACCAGCACTTTGAATTGGGCCCAGAAACTAATTGGCAGCCAGTGCAGTCAGACCAGGATTGACATTATAAGCTCAAACCATCTTGCCCCTTTGAGCAATCTGGCCGCTGAATTCGGCACCAGCTGAAGTTTCTGAACCATCTTCCAGATAGCCCTACAGAGAACGCATTGCAATAATCTAACCTAGAGGTTTCCAAAGCATAAACAACAGAAGTTAAGCTATCCCTGTCCACATAGGGGTGCAGCTGGGCGAATGGAAGGCAATCCGTGCTACTGAGGCCACCTGAGTCTCAAGCAACAGCAGGGGATCCAAAAGTACCCTCAAGCTGCATACCCACTCCTTCAGAAGGAGTGTAATCTCATCAAGAGCAGGCAGCCTCCTATCCAACTGGTCTGGGGAACTGGTCTGTGCCTCAATCTTCTCTGCATTGAGCTTCAGTTTATTGGCTCTTATTCAGTCCATTACTAAGGAAAGAATGGTCCAGCACACCCACCTTCTCACCTGTAGATGTAAAGGATGTGTGTTGTCAGCATGTTGCTGACAACATACTCCACAACTCTGGATGACCCCACTCAGCTGTTCCTTGTAGATGTTAAACAGCATGGGGTATAAAACTGAGGAACCCCACACTGAATGCTCCACAGAGCCAAAGAGCACTTTTCAAGCACCACCCTCCATAAACGACCATCCAAGTAGGACCTTAACTACCACAAAATGGTGCCACCCACCGCTAACTCCTGAAGGCATTGAAAGCCACTGAGAAGTCAAGGAGAATTAACAAGGACACATTCCCCCCAGTTTCTGTCTCAACATAGGGCAACATACAGGGTGACCAAAGCAGTTTCTGTGCCAAAATAGGGCCTAAACTCTGATTGATATGAATCGAGAAGACCAGTTTTCTCTAAGAGCACCTGGATCTTATTTACATAGACAAACAGGGTGACTTTCCTCCCTCCGCTTAATAGTCCAACTTTAAGGCAGCACTGACATTTTGATGACTGTTCATATTAATACAAGAAAAATAATCTTTACTACTCGGAAGTCAAACAGAATCTGCTCCAGAAGTCCGTTTGACTTCCAAAACGTTCGGAAACCAAGGCACAGCTTCCGATTGGCTGCAGGAAGCTCCTGCAGCCAATCGGAAGCCCCATTGGACGTTTGGGTTCCAAAGAACGTTTGCAACTCACTTCCGGGTTTGCGGCATTTGGGAGCCAAAACGTTCGGGTCGCAAAGTGTTCGTCAACAAAGGTACAACTGTGTTTCTAACATTGTTATAAATGCAATCCCCGAACATTGTTCAAATCCAGGGTGCGATGTTTTCTGTGTGATTTGTGTGTCACTCAGTGTAAAGGTACACCCAGCTGTTTCATATAAATGAACTTTATGGAGTACCGATTTGCATTAGAGGCAGCTCTGGTTCCTGGCCAAGGCACTCAAGTATGAGAAGGAAAATGATGAAGGGAAAGTGAAACAGGTAGACCAGCAACAGTCAGGAATAACAAATGGAAATAAGTGGTCTGAATCTGCAAAATCTTGGATCTTTGCATTACACGCCAATGCTGACAGAAGGTGGGAGTGATTTTTAAAATAGTGTAAGGAAACATGTAGGCGGGAGGAAGGAAGAGGGGAAATTGAAGGAAGGGAAGATCTTTATAAAGTGCATCTGGTTTCTACAAAATAGCATATTGGTGTCCCACCTAAAATACTTTTGCATTTTCCAGATCCTTTACTGTGCCAATATGAGCATTTGCTTTTTGTGAATACAGCAAATACAGCCTTGCAAATAGGCTGAAGTCATGTGGATGGTTTCTGGCTCCGACTTTGTCAGTTCCAAAGCTCTAGAATTGAGAAGTGAGTTAATAATCTAATGTCCTTTGAGCCAGGAAATTATCCGGTTAAATACCCCACAGTTGGACTTGCGCTGTCAGTTTTGTTCTGCTATATTTTTTTTCAGGAAGTCATTCTGAAAGTGAAAGCAACAATGCGTTTTTACATGCTTGCTAGCATTGCTACATGGTTTTAAATGGGGAAATAAATCACTGCTGGGGAAATTTAGAAATTTACTCTTACAAAAGTAAACATTAGCTAGGGTTTAACAGAGAGGGAAGATGCAGAATTCATGGTGGGAAAGAGCTGTTGATTGCTTGCCCTCTGCTGATGTAGAGACAGCTGTGTCCCTCATGACATTTTCCCTACATGGAGATGATAATATCAGTGTTGGGGGAAATGCGTGCTCTGTAACTTGTTAGGAGAGACCCAATAAATATGTTTTTTCCTGTGAGTTACACAGCACAGAAAGCTGATGAGAGCAGAGGATTTACAAAACCCTGAACTTGCAACAGACTGAATTCATCACAATTCACAAGTGGCAACGTACATGTTTGTTTTCCCTGATACAGAAATTAACTAGTAAGACGAGACCTGCTGACTTTAACCCAGTCCAACTTCTGGGGAAGCACATAACCAGACAACAGCCTTCTCCTGGTTTTTTTGTTTTGTTTTTTGTTTTTTTGCCCCCTAGAATGATCTCTGCAAGCAAAGCTTGTACATCATACCCATTCTGTGCCGCAGGATCTGGTGGTCAAAAGAGCTTTTGCCAAAGGCTTCCCTGGTGCAGATGTTGTCCTGCATGTGTGGAAGCCAAGAAGTGGGGCAAGCTACAATGGATGGTGTCAGGGCAGAGCTAGTCAGCATGGCCCCTTTACTTTGTATCAATGCCTGAGTGGTATTTCTGAATGGGGCTGTGGTGTAGTAATAATAATAATAATAATAATAATAATAATAATAATAATAATAATTTATTTATACCCCGCCCATCTGGCTGAGTTTCCCCAGCCACTCTGGGCGGCTTCCAATGCAGTGTTAAAAACAATACAGCATTTAATATTAAAACTTCCCTAAACAGGGTTGCCTTCAGATGTCTTTTAAATAGAAGATAGCTGCTTATTTCCTTCACATCTAAAGGGAGGGTGTTCCACAGGGTGGGTGCCACTACTGAGAAGGCCCTGGTTCCCTGTAGCCTCACTTCTCGCAATGAGGGAACTGCCAGAAGGCCCTCGGCACTGGATCTCAGTGTCCGGGCTGAACGATGGGGGTGGAGACGCTCCTTCAGGTATACAGGACCGAGGCCGTTTAGGGCTTTAAAGGTCAGCACCAACACTTTGAATTGTCCTCGGAAACGTACTGGGAGCCAATGCATTTGCGTTGAGTTATTGCGATCGACCACCTTATTTACTACCTGTCCAGCAAAACTATAGTTCAGGAGGCCAATGTGGTGCCCTCGAGATGTTGCTGGAATCTCTGCTGCAGTTAAAACAGGTAGAGAGGTGAGATAAAGCGAGCAGAGGTTGGATTCTGTTTAGATGGCTTTCCATCTGCCAGGATGAAAACCCAGGCAATTTATCTTTGGCTACACTGCTCTGTCTCCTCAAGTGGCTGTGACTGAAGTAGGTCTACATTGGGACTCACCGAAGCTTGAGTGAACCATCTAAACCACCAAATGAAAATCTAGCCTCAGCACACATTAGTTTTTTAATTGATATTATTTTTATTTGATTGTTTTTATTATTTAATAAAGTATGAATGAGTCGTTGCAAATATTAATCATGTGGAATAATAGACAGAAGAGAACCCATTTAAAAGTGCAAACGCATTCTACACAATCGTAGAATTACAGAGTTGGAAGGAACCCTGTGGGTCGTCTAGTCCAGGGCTTCCCAAACTTGGGTCTCCAGCTGTTTTTGGACTACAATTCCCATCATCCCTGACCCCTGGGGGCCCTGCTGAGCTGGGGAATGATGGGAGTTGTAGTCCAACAGCAGTTGGAGATCCATCCAAGTTTGGAAAAGCCTGATCTAGTCCAAGCCCCTGCAATGCACTGATATGCAGCTGTCGCTTACAGGGATCGAACCTGCAACCTTAGTGGTATCTGTGCACTCCATCCTCCAGTATAAAATATACTGCTCTGCTCCATTTAGCCCTGATCCACAACCCTCAGCTATCCTTAACTTTTGTATGGTGTCATTTGCTCTACCAAGCAGCTAGCGCTTTTCAGGAGAAACTTTGGGAGGTAACTTGAGCCAATTTTCCTCCCCAGTCACAGGCAAGATTGAACTAATTTCAAGTTTGCTGAGAGTTCAGTTTTAATTGGACACAGGTAAGCTAATTGTTGTGGGTCCCACAGCTCCGGCAACCGCTTCTTAGGATTCTAATCTTGCCACTTACACCAGATTCACTACCAGCAATAAATAATGTATACAAGGCAGACAGCTTTCAGAAGGTACAATAGAGTGATCACAGCGTTTCCACAGGGATTAGAAGCAATTTGCAGAACAGAGACCTCCTTTGTGCATTTTAGTATTTGTATGCACTCTGTGTGTGCAACTCTTAAATTATAAATGTACAGAGGCTTTCGCCTCAAAGTGATGTTGAGTGAAAACTATCATTTCTCTCTTGCCGCATCCACTAACGGCTTTTCTTTCAAGGAAGAAGTGGGCTTAACAATTGAATATTTCCTTATAGGCAGACGGTAGAACGTGTGACATTACAGAACCAACTCCAGCAGCTTCTAGAAACACAGAGATCAGAGGGCAAGTCACTGCCAACATCCCCAAGGTAACTAGGCGTACTGGAATAGAATTCCAATGTACTTCGAACTGGACTCTTTTCACGGTTATTGCATGAGAAGGTCACGCTCCAGCTAAAGATCCAATCGTTCATGCTGTGAAAGAATAAAAAGCAAAATGTCGTATGATGGGAATTCATACCTTTTTAATTTGGCAGGTGTGAATACTGGACTCTGTGAGTTTAAATGGAATTAACTTTCCTACATTTTCCAGTTTGATTTATTGTGGAACTTTTAGATGACTCATAGACATCACAGGAAACATCTTGTGAACTTCCACAACCTCACCTTATGGTGGCTTACAGTAATCTTACACTCCCAGTAATTCATAAAAAGGCTTTTTTTATTTTTTGCTGGGAAAATAGGCAGGCTGCTGTTCATGTGCTGTAAAGGCGATTTGTCTTCACTGTCTTAATGTAAATGGACAGCACCAGAAGCATAGATAGAATGGTACATTTCAATGTTTTAACCGCAGTTACTTGACTTCAGCTGAATGAACATTGCTGCAGGCTCCCCATGTGTGAGTTGGGCCAGACCATTAGGAGCATTATTGGGCAAAGGCATAAATATAACACTGATAAAAAGCATGGAAGCAAATTCAGTTAATGAGCACCCCTTAAGCACCTCCATTTAGGTGGAAGTTAGCCTGAAATAATAGGGTTAGAATGGGAGCATCAGAGTTCTGCCTTGAACAAAATTCCCTTAAGTGTATATAAAATTGTGTCATCTACTTGTGCATTTAAAACTTCTGATGAAACCTGTGATCCTCTCACCATGCAGCCCATGCAGTTTTTTAAACCCTTTTTTTTTTTTGCCAGCTTATAAACAGTAAGCCATTTGATCTGCAAGGCCATGTTTCAGCAATACCAGTGGAATTACTCCTGAGCAAACCATGCTAGATTGCTATTGCTCTTATTCAGGGGTCGGCAACCTAAGGCCTATGGGCCACAAGCAGCCCATGGGGGCCATTTAACCAGCCCATGGACCCCCACCACCTGCTCGGTCGGCTCCCGTGTGCCGCACTAAACCGGCGCAGAGCAGAGCGGGGTCCGCCTTCCGCGACACTGGCCAGCTTCCCATTGGCTGCAGGAAGCTCCTGCAGCCAATAGGAAGCTGTGCACACCTCCTCCACGCTGGAAGGAGTGCCCGAAATAGCGTTTGTGCATGCATGAGTTTGCACGCACACACTCCAGCCCACCGTGGCATTTGCAGAACCGTGAACCGATGGAAGCCACAAAAACTTTGCCAACCCCTGCTGTTATTCCTCTTGAATGCTCTTCCACTTCATCATTGTTTAGATAACATTCTTAGATAACCATTTTGGTTAAACAGCTTTCATACTTCTTACCGTTTGGGACCTTGTAAAGTTGACCTCTATGCAAAGTATAAAGGGAGGGTCCAGACTGCCCTCTCCAGTTGGAGACACCTTGATTCAGTGGAAGTTCCCAGTGGAAGAAGAGGAGGAAAGTAATTTTTGCCAAATTTCCCCTTTACCCTGCAGCCACCAGTGACATCTTTGCACACTGTTTCAACTCTCTGAAGCAGATTTTGTGACAGGAAGGGAGGATATATGACATTGACCTCTTCTCTCCCTCCCACAATTGCTCTATTGGAGTGTTGCATGGCAGAAACTCTGCTTGTTGCAAGTCTGGATCCAACCCAAACAGTCTCTGTAAACTGACTACAGGATCCTACTTCCACAGTAATTCGTTTCTCTTCATCTCTCCTTCTTCCACTTCCCTCTCTGTGTTGTGTTCCCCAAATCTCAAATTTTGCATTAAACGTTCTTGCGGCAGGGACCTAAGAATTCTTTATCATTACCATGAAGTCAAAATTCCCATTGATTTTAATGAAGCAGAATTTCATATTTAAATTTTGGAACATGCCAAAACAGGACTTGGTGGTTTTTATGTAAAAGATCCAAGTACATTTTAGTATTCCAGTTTTCCCCCAAGCTATTCTCAGAAATTCTGCTGAGCAATATCTAATGCAACTCTTTAATCAGAAATCTTTCTGTAGAGTTTAGCAAAGAAAGGAAATAATGGATCAAGCTTAGCCTGGAAACAGATTTACATTCTTAACAATGGAGTCAATATAGTGTGACTCCATAATACATTCCCCGTGGATAAAGGTCAAGAAAAAAGCAGTAGGGTGGTTTGGAAAGCATATGCAATGGAAATGTCAGGGTTGCACTGTATGTATGTATAACTTTGGTTGTGGTTGCCTGTACTGAACGGTGTTTTTGTTTTTGTTTTCAATTTATCCCGATTGAAGTTCGCCATCGTCACCTACTTCTGGCAAGCTTCAATGGAAACCATCTGACGCAGATGACTCGATTCTGCCGAAAAGTAAATTGAACACCCATGATGGGATGCAGATTCTTGGCAGTGTGGGGACTCCACACCACAACCGTCCCAAGATGAAAGATGAAGACTCAGATAAAATACTGCGCCAGCTGCTGGGGAAAGAAATCTCTGAAAATGTCTGCATGCAAGAAAAGCTGTCCCTGGAATTTCAGGATGTCCATGCCTCCAAGAGTACAAAGAAGCTTCCCCTGGAGAAAAAGGAGTTGAAGTTAGCAAGACTGAAGCATCTCATGCAGCGATCTCTCAGTGAGTCTGATACAGATTCAAATAACTCAGAGGATCAGAAGAATACGCCCGTGAACAGAGTGGACAAGCCAAGGCCACAGCCCATAGTAGAAAACATTGAAAGCACCGAGAATTTGCATCTGATGATTAAGAGGCACACTTTATCATCTGGGCGCCGGTTCCCTTTTGGGATGAGAGCCTCAAAATCTTTGGATGGCAACAGCCCTTCTCCCACTTCGGAAAGTAGTGATCCTGATAATGAGTCCCAGTACCAGACTGGGACTATATCTCAGAGCCAGGCCATGGGAGATACCTGCCAGCCGAGCTCTGATGCCATCACGACTCACAAAGTGGCCACAAGTCCCAAGAGTGCCCTCAAATCTCCATCTTCCAAGCGCAGAACTGCCCAGAATTTAAAACTCAGAGTGACCTTTGAGGAGCCTGTGGCACAGGAACAAACGGAGGCTGGTTTAAATGGGGAAAGGGACAAAGAGCGAAGTAAGGTCCTTCAGCGGCCTTCGTCCAACGCCGAATCTGGAGACCAGCAGAAAAGGCCCTTTGGAACCTTCCGCTCCATAATGGAGACACTGAGCGGGAACCAGAACAATAATAATAACTATCAGACTTCAAGCCTAATCAAGACCTCATCACCCTTTACCTCATTAGGAAGGAAAGCCACAGATAGCAAGGGAAATTCAGCAACTTCTGCAAAAGGAAAAAATAAGCCAGTGAGTGATGAATGGGGCAGAGGGAATGTTTTTGTATGTTAATGAATGAAGAAGTCTAGAATGGTTTTTCCCCCCTCAACTGCGTTGAACAAATGTCAACACATCACCACTGGAAGGGCTTTAGGCAGGGAAGAGGTAATGTGGGCACATCTGGAAAGAGATAGTAAACTTACTGAAGGTGTCTAATAGAGATTTTCAGGGATCAGGTGCTATTTGTTCTGTGCAGCCAGTCTCTGCAACCAAGACATGAGAGCCCTGAGGTGAAGTTGATCTCGTGTGGATTGTAGGGATAGTGTCAAAGCCCACGTGCTCTGCTACACACGTAAATAATTTTAGCTCAGAGTTCTCTTATGCCATTTTGTACTTAACTCTTTTGAGGAATATCTGAATTCAGAAAAAGAGCAGTTCCCATGCAAATACTTTCTAAAATACAAAAAAGTAGAAGACAAGGGGGATGTTATTGTTGTTATTATTATTATTAAATTTTATGTTCCAATCATCATCTAAAGGGCAGTTTACAACATAGAACACAGATGTCAATACATAACATGTTATCTATACAACATAAAAATCAAAACAGTGATATAAATATAATGGTTATAATAAAAAATACATAATAGAATACAGTTTCCCATAAAAGACAGATTCACAAAGCAGCCACAACATAAAAAAAAAACCAAGGGAGGAGAAAAATCAGCATCAATATATAAATTGGATACATCCAAACATAGGAACAGAGCCAAACAATGAGATAAGAATCTATGAGAACATAAGTGCTTCTTTCTAAAACCATACAAGGATCCAAGCAAGGTGTTAAGTTCAGACCTCCTTAGCAAAATGCTTCACCTGGCAGCTATTATTATGTGGTTAAACTATTCATGCAAACTGCCTTACCACAGGTCTGGGGTCATTTCCTCCATGCCATTACAAACCTTTCTCTTTCAGCGTCTGTGCTGGAAAGGAGAAAATTGTCCTTCGCGAGCCGTGAGTCACTCTGCACAAAAGCCTCGCATGGAGTGCTTTAAGCTGGCCTCCCTCTGGTGGCTGTAAAGGAGCAAGACTCCACCTTGGCTCATGATAAGAGTGATGGCTGTAGAAATACTGGGCCTTGTGAAACTGGACAGTTGTGTTGGATTATTAGCTTCTGTTGATCTGAAGAAAGGCAATGGTAGCACATACCCAAACAGACTGATGTCTGGGGACTGGAAAAAAGTGAGCATAAGGCTGGGAACAAGTTACAACAAAGGGTTCTTAAGTACTTCTGTGCAGGAACACAGTGGTGTCCAAAGGCTGGTTAGATAGTGGGAATAAAGCCGATTAAAACAGGGCCCTGGAAGCAGAGTTTTATACAATAAACAAGAGGTTTGTATTCCAATGCATTATTCAAACAAGGGGTTAACATTTACAGAAAGGGAAATCCAAGTAAAGGCAGACAATTCAGTTTGCTTTTAGCTGTCCAGCACCAAAGATTTGAACCTAAAAATTATTGCTGCTGCTGTTGTTATTGTTATTAATTCGCCACTTTAATTATAAAAGTGACCTAATGCAGCTTACGACGCAGTCTAAACACTAAAACCAATTACAGCATACAACTAACAAAAAACCCTGAAAACACAGCTATACATATAAAAGGTTTTTACAGAATCTGCCCCACTAAAAGAGGGCAGAAGTATTTGAAGTCCTTAAAATTAAGGGCCAAAGGTGCGGGTAAAGAGCAAAGTTTTTGCCGGGCACCGAAAATGAGTTCCTATAATGTTTAGCTGAACTGTGTCATTTAAAAGGCAAGCATCCTATTTCCTAGCCAAGCTCCCTTAATAAAGACTTGTGTTGAAAGAACACCTGTAGTGTTCTACAACGAAGTGTAACAAAAGAAGGTGAAATGTTATGTTTGTCCATAGTACTTTGCAGAATTCATACGTGGAGACTGAACAACTGGGAAGAAATTCAAAAAGCATCACTCACAGCCGGTGATGAAGAGTGGAAACATGTTTTTAACGTTTTAACCCCCCCCCCCAAAAAAAAGCTAAAATCAGTGATGGATGAAAATTACATTTCCCCCTCATATTGTTCCATATTGTTTTGCTGGCACCCCATGCCTGTCTTATTCCTGCCTCCTTTTACCCGTCGTGTGGGTGGAGCATTCCCACTTGCCAAAATTTGCATGCTTTCAGATGGCACGTTCGGTCAGAAATGCGTAGTTTCATAACGCTTCACAGATGTGAGCTAGCGCCAAACCCTCCGTGCCATTTCCCTTTTACCTGAAGAGGCTTATGGGCACGATCGAAGGAGCTGCAGCCTTCCTTCTACTATGAATGGCGGAAGCATCCTGTAGCTCCTAGAAGCCAATGGAAGCAGCTCTACCACATGCCAAGCCCTGCATAGGCATCTGAGATCCAGCGAGGAACTAGATTGTGGCATGTGGGTTTCTCAAAGCTTCCGCTAATACACTGTGACTTGTAATCACTGCCTTTCTACTATGCATGTGAGAAGCTTGTTGCATGATCTTTCGACTGATTAATGCATTGCACTCCCCCCAGGCGCCCTACCCTGGCTGCATCAGTTTTTCCACTGGCATGCTGATTGAACGCCGCCTGTGTAACTATGCATGGTATGTGCTGATGCAGAGTGAAAATGTTGGCTTTCCTATTGCTGTGCTTTTCATTATTATTATCCCCTCATTGCATGTGCAGCTTATAATTGTTCGCAGCTTAAACTAATGAAACGATTGACGACAACTGTAAAAGAAAATGAAATTTTGATCTCCAAAAAAAGAAGAAATAAACAAATCCCTGTTACAGTCCTTTGCTAATAACCATTGCTGAGCTCGTTTAATGTCTTCAGCACAAAGTAATGCATAAAAATCACTAGCGCTCATAAATCCAAAAATGCGTTTTAGTTCGGCTTGGCATTACAGATTTTTCTTGAATGAAAGTCAAACACCAAATGAGAATGGAAATTAAATTTCCTCTTAGGAGCAGGCCAAGTCAAACTCCACTTACGGTCAGAAGAGACAGTGCGCTCCAGTCTCCATTATCCCATCTCTTTCTCACACTTGATTTACCGGTAGTTTACTAATTTAAATGTAGTGTCAGGTAAACCAAAACCAATGTATTTTTAACCCTTGCAGGAATAGAAACATGCCAGGTGGTATCCAGCTAAGTGATATTCAAGAGTAGACCCATTGATATTAATTGGTTTAAGTTACTTAAGACCACTGGTTGTATTAGGTCTGAGTAGGACTAACACTGGATATTATTATTATTATTATTATTATTAATTGAATTTATATACCACCCTATACCTGGGGGTCTCAGGGCTTCACAGAATTGGGATATCACCCAATGTTTCTAACACAGAAGTGCAGCTTTTGCTAAGCACTTGTCAGATGGGGTGGGATTGAGGTTTGGGTGTTCATATTTAACAATCAGGGACGCGGGTGGTGCTGTGGGTAAAAGCCTCAGCGCCTAGGACTTGCCGATCGAAAGGTCGGCAGTTCGAATCCCCGCGGCGGGGTCCGCTCCTGTCGCTCGGTCCCAGCGCCTGCCAACCTAGCAGTTCGAAAGCACCCCCGGGTGCAAGTAGATAAATAGGGACCGCTTACCAGCGGGAAGGTAAACGGCGTTCCGTGTGCTGCGCTGGCTCGCCAGATGCAGCTTTGTCACGCTGGCCACGTGACCCGGAAGTGTCTCCGGACAGCGCTGGCCCTTGGCCTCTTAAGTGAGATGGGCGCACAACCATAGAGTCTGTCAAGACTGGCCCGTACGGGCAGGGGTACCTTTATTTAACAATCAACTGGCAACTTTGTAATTAAGGGTGAATTCAAATATCTGCGTTTATGGGATTTTCCTTCCATAAAAAATATGAAAAATGAATATTGACCACAATAGTAATCATGCATCTCAAGTGCCTGCTCACCTATATCTTGTTAGTTTAAAGTTAACTGCCTTCACTTGTTTGGGATATTTTATTTCTCATGTAGAGATGCATATTGTGCTCTAGGGTCCAGTTGAGATCTGTGAACAAACCATGCAACCCTCATGCTTCCTCCTCCCATTCAAGTACAAAAGGAAGAGATTTAAAGTTTCCATTCCTAGTTTGGGGGAAAATCTGTGCTTTGTTGCTATGTTTGAAGTCCACAGAAGATGGTTGGTTCAGACCACTGTTTGTTAACAGGCCCAAATATCCTGGCTTTTTAACAAACTGTGGTTTGACCACACCACTATTCTCCATGATACACTTGCACCAAATATCCTCTTCCCCACTTTCACAGGGCCTGCAGCTACCTGCACACATAACCATAAATCATATTTTGATGTTGGTCTGAAATGGACCTCTGTCTCCAATCTCTTAAGTATCCAACACGGAAATATTTTAGGAGTGGAGGGCGGAGAATTCACGGCACTTTCAGGAACACACAACGTATATAATTTAATCGTTTCATTATCCAACTATGCTAGAACCGAATTCTGAGTTTGCATAAGCTCACATAAATTAAGTCAGACATTTGTACGCTGATTAAGAACTAGGTATTTGTGAGGAAATGGTGGATTTGTCATGCTTGGCAATGCATGTGCTGTAACATCTATAAGTTTATTCTAGGCAAAACCTTGTAAACTTGAGGCCACCAAGCTTCTCCTTTATCATTTGATGAAATGGCTCAGGATGCAGATCACAGCAGGAAAATCAAGCAATAGGCCTTGGAAGGGTGATAATTGGGTTGCACACACCCACTAATTAATTGGTTTCCCCAATTCTTGTCCATTGGAAACACATATATTTATTGGGACATTTTGGCACCGACTGTGGCAAAGCTGCAGGCCATGATAGGACAAGACTAGTAATGAGGTTAAGAATTAAGTCCTTTTAGGCAGCTGGTTTCAATGGAAATCCCTTTATCAATATATAGTGCAGTCTTGGTGGTTAAAATGCTTCTCAGATCCATACAACAGACTTCAGACCCCCACTCTAGTATTAATCATTTGTTAAGTATGGATTCCGCATACATCACGGCTTTGGCTTTACAGCAGTTTCCCATGGGTAATTTAGTTTTGTCCTGGTAGCTGCCATATGTCCTGTATCCAGCGAACCACATCCAGCTACAGTTAAAGAGAATCACTTGCTAGAGCCATGTGGTAAATGTGTTAACTCTCTGCACACCAACCCAGGGACAAAATGTATCACATGTAAACGGCCACAGGGTTGTTGTTTTTAATCAGCCAGTGTTTCTTCTTGTATTTTTAAATTATTATTATATTTTGGCAACAGCGTTAAAATCTCAGCCACCTCCAAAAGCCCTGATTATTATTTGTTTCCTAATCAGCTACAGCTTGATGTTGGTAAAACAATTAACATTCCTTGGCGCCCTGTTAAAATTCACTAGATTTCTTTGTGCAAGCATACGATCTGTTTCATTTGCTCGGTACTTTTCTTCCCCTTTCTTTTTAAAAAATGCGGGCCCGTTTTTATCCCTGACAGTGCCAAGCAAATGTTTGCAATTACATTAGCCATGTATTGCCAGTGAAATATTTGCTTCCCATGGATTAAGTTATTGTGAAGCATGTAGTGCATTAAAGTGAGAACATATTTATCTTATCTGCAGGAATCACTCCAGTAACTCGTTCACATCGGTGGTAGTTTTCTCTGTCCCCACGAAAGCTATTTTATTACTAGGATTGTATTCAGATGACAAGAGATTTTTGTAAGCACCATACCATGGAAGACACATGGCGCTCAGATGTCTCTCCTTGTTGCTCTCATACCCAAAGTATTTTGGGAAACTACAAAAGTCTAGACTTCTAGAAGTGAGTGGACAACAGAATGCATCTTGCAGTAGACATCTCCATTCAACAGAGCGCCATGGGAATCCTGCTTTTATTACCTGCAAATAAAATCAGTGCTTCAAGAGGTAGGGCAGAGAGGCTGGTTTGCGTGTAAACACACACACAACTAGAATCTGGCGTAGGACACAGTGTCAATAGACATTCCAACAGTGGAGCCAGAATCCAGCATCAGAGGCAATTGCCTTCCAAGTTTTCTATTTCCCATAGAATGCAGTGGCAGCCTTTAGACATATACAGTATAGGAATCTTCCACTTTTATGGCAAAATTGAATGCAATGGGGGCCGGGGCTCCCACTGGTGACCCCAATATCCAGCAGGAAGCAGGTTTTGCATCCTTCTCAGCTTTGTCTCAGATTGCAGCCTGCTCAGTTTGCCCTTTTAAAGTTCAATGGTGCCCAACAAGAGCCAAGTCTACTAGGGCAGTTCATCTGAAAATATCCTGGGTTTTCACAAAGGAAAAAGTAGGTGTTTGTCTGCTTTTTGACAGGGAACGTATTCACTTCAAATAATAATAATCATGTCTCGCCCTAACTTAACTCTGGGAACTTAAACCTTAGCAGAGAGTCATAGAGGAGATGTTATTTTCATCTGAATTCAGTGGAAATACTTCTATTTGCTTGGACACAAAAAAGGTCTCAACGTAGCTATTACGATCACAAATATGCTTGCAAATGTTATTCCATAACTGCGGTATGTGAGTGAGTTCACTGGTATGGTTTAGAATTGCAGCAAGCAAAAGCTTTGGCAAGCAGCACACATCCAAGCAGTGATACCCTCTCCGTTTGGCTGGCTTAGGTCACCATGATGAATCAGCAACCGAAATACCACAATTTTTCTTAAATGTAGGATGGGCAATAACTGTGGTAACGGCAGTATTTTGTTGATGAAAGTCAGTTTTCTGTGGGTGATTTCTTCAAATTGAGCAAACCAGGCAGTAAAAGGTTCTGAGCAATTCTAACCCTTCAGCTGGTTGAAGTAGTACATTTTGGTTCTAGTTTCCTTGGGCTCCACTCAAAGCAGATCAACATATTCCAGAGATTTTTTTAAAATGTTTTTTGTAGAAAACTCTTACGCAGCTTCCAATAGTTTTAGGCACTTTTAAGGCACTTCTTTCTGACCTTTTGATCACATTGTAGAGTTCTCCGATCCTCTGCTGGGTCTCTAATAATAGATTATTTTGTAAATAATAAATGCATACAAATGCAACAGTAAGCACCCAAAGTCATCCTGCTAAAGACGTCTGCTTGCACAATGGAACTTTCTCTCGCTCTTCTGTCCCTGCATCACCCCCAACCCCTAACATTCAGTTCTGGGGGTTGCACCGACACTTTGGAGCCGATTTGGGGGTCTCTCAGGGAGAAGAGGGAGAGGGGAAGTTCCACGGTCCCAGTGGAAGTCCTTGCACTAACAGGGCAACTTCAATGGATGCCACCCATATTGATTATTTATCTAACACGGGCGGTCCTCAGAGCAGCAACTCAAGGCACTGAGTTCTTCATTTAGCAGGTCTGGGTTTTTTAAATTTATAGATAACAGCCTCAGGTGCGGCACAAAGATTGCATGAAGGATTGCTTAACCCTTTTCCTCTCTCTCTGGCCCATGGTCCTGGGGAAAACACATCCCTAAACTATTGTTCATACTGCAAAAAAAGTCAGCATTAATGCTGGTTTTCAAAGAAATAAACAGACACATTAAAGGCAGCCATGTGTCTAATGTATCTTCTCTTCTAACATATCCTTGACCCCCTTTTATGCAAAATAATTTATAGGAGTCTGCACCAGTGCTAACCTAATACCCCCAAAAAGAAAGGTATAACCATCAGTGACACACTAGTGAAGTGATATGTGGTACTATGCACATCATCCTATGTATTTATTTGCTCGACTTGGAAATATAAAGACTGCTGGGTATGTATAGTAGTCCTTGGGATCAGGCAGCCCATGAGCCTGAGGCAGTGTTTCTCAACCTATGGGTCCCCAAATGTTGTTGGACTACAACTCCCATCATTCCTAGCCAGCATGACCAGTGGTCAGGAATGATGGGAGTTGTAGTCCAACAACATCTGGGACCCACAGGTTGAGGCATTTTTTAGAGGAGGGGTGAAGCCCTGATTTGTAATGCATGGTGGATTTGTTACATAATTTGAGCTCTGTAATGGTGGATTTTGCTTAATAGGAAATCCAGCCCCTTTTATGTGTTGCTGCCCGGCTGGTCATGACTGTGTCCAATGCCCAGCTGGCCAGCAAAGGGAATTCCCCAAGACCTGGACCCTGATTGGCCCATTTGAACCTGGCTACTGGCTGGGAGGTAACCCCCATGTTTGTGATGGCCAAGGCAAACTCCCTATTGTTCAGCGACCACGTAGGTCCGGCTGGCTGGGAAGGAGCCAGAAAGTGAAGGTCCAAAACTGACGCCCACCAGAAAAGCAGTGAGCTTCCATTCTGAATATGGAATAGCTATTGTTATTTGGGAGAGAAAAGGAGAAGGGGACCATTGTCTGTACCCAAGACATACAGAAAGTCAGTGGTATTTCACAGATCCTGCACCCAAAGCCATATGTAGCTTTCAACTCTCAGGCCGTCTTGGTGAATGTCTTGCTATTCAGGATATAGGTTGACTTTTGCCAACCTGATGTCCTCCATCCAGATGTCTAGGCAAAAACATCTGGATGGCACCAGGTAGGCAAGGGCTGATGGTTATTTTTATAATCTCGCTTAATTACAAATGTCTCTAAGCAGACAGTGATAGATGGGCTTTAAGAGCACAAATATACAAGACCTTGGTAGCTGGGAGCAGAGAGAATCATTAGAGCTCTTACTTAGGCTGACTGCTGCTATGGAAAATAATTTCCTGTTTACATTGACTTTGAAGAACAAAACAACTGCCATATGCAAGCACACACAGCCCTGCTTTCTATTTAATACACAGAGCAGTTAGCACAGCTACTATTAAAAATAAGAAATACACAAACTGCATCTGGCTTTCTTTTATCATACCGATATATTTACATTTAATAGGAAAATATGGGCAGTTTATTGGGGAGGGAAAGGTTTGCTGGAGATTGTGCGATATTGCTGCATTTTCAGTACATCAATAAGTTCCTTTCTGCTGAAGCAAATAAGCACATGTTGGAAGTTGTCTGCTATGGTACAGAGTCAATCTGACAGGTCCCTGTCCAAATTTACAGTTGTTCTGTGGTTTTTTTTTGGGGGGGGGATATCATAAAAGAGCCACAAATGTTGGAATCCATTTTTGAAATTCCCAAACAAAGGAGTTCAGACAAGCCTAAAATATTTCATTTCCTTCACTTCATAAAAGAGATATTAACGCCATTCAAAAGTAGTTGTAGCTGGATACATAGGATTAAATCTGTGTTCATAATCTTCACCTTAGCGTTTTTAAACAGGTTCTGTAAAAGGTTCTTTCACAAATCAAAGGCTGATTTTGACTAATCCAGTCTTTAAGTTCTGCACATTCTGATATGGGAACTGAATCCATATTTTTACAATTAGCATGTGCACAAGGAGACCCAAAAAGTATGATAAATGACTATATATTATCAGCAGTTTGTTTTTATTATCTACACATGTGTGACAAAAATTTCTCATGCTCGGTTTTACTTCACCAGCGGAAGGTCTGGTTGCAATACAGTACAATCCTAGGCATATCTTCTCAGAAGTAAGTGCCATTGAGTTCAGCGGAGGTTTACTCTCAGAAAAGTGGGTATAGGATTTCAACCTTGGTTGGTAATTTTGCATTTTATGACATGAAGAAAGGGGTCTTAGTTTAACTTCCAGGTTTGTTTTAACTTCTCACTTTTACACTTTGATCCCTAGCTGTTTTGATGGAAGTAAATTCTTCTTATAATAATCCACACACACACCCAATCAGGGTATTTCCTAGATTGCCAAAGAGTACAAATTTCACACATGTGATTTCTTCTGTGTAACAGAGCATGCTTTTATATGTCTACTCAGAAGGAATTCCCATTAAGTTCAATGGGCTTTACTTACATGCAAACAGGGAATATGACCTTTTTGCCAGACTTGGGATTGTTTGCTAGGCATGGGATTAAAAGTTAGCACCAATAGTACATTATTGGTGTTGTCAGCCCATGAGATTGGAATTCCTTTTCAGTCATCTTCAAGCAGCTGTGGCAGTTTAAGCCCAACTCATTTCAGAAGGGACTGTGTTGGCACTGCTGTTGAATTAAGGCAGTCCTTTCATGGTGAAATAAATCAAATTACTGGGCATCTTTTGAATGACCAGGGGTGATTTTTTTGTTTTGTTTCTGTTTTTCCTTGCAGGCATAACAACATGAATAGGAAACTCCAGCGATCTTACAGCAAAGATTTTTCCGAAGAACCAGAGCTGCAAGAATTCTTCCTTTGACTCGCATCTCACGGGATCTCAGTCTTCCTCCAAACATGGCCCGAAATCTTCCCACTTGAAAACTTAACTATGAGACGTAACTTTCACCAGCAGAATAACAGACTCTTAGGATGCCTTAAATTTGTAGCAGCTAGACCATATAAAAAAATTAATATGTGTCTATGTCACTTGTTTGTAAGGTGTACTGTTTTAAGGCAAAGGTGAGCAAAAGCCATGATTTGGAAACATAGCAATGCAAAGAACCTCTGGAATGATCTTCTGACATCCATCATTTTGTGGCCATTACTTGTTGCATGGATATAATGTAACATGTCTTGTATTTCCTTTTCTCAGAACCTAACTGTGTCTGTAAAAATAAGGACTCTGATTAGCCAAATCCTCACTGAGCGCAGGACAAGCGCTCTTCCCAACCCCACCCCGGCCACCCTCTTGTTGAACTATGTTTTGTCGCTATTTCTAATTTTTTGTATAAAAGAAAATAAACCAGTGTTAACCAAAACACAGTGTGAACATAACCAGATGTCACTTCTGCTTCATTTATTTATGTGATCCATTGTGACCCATTTCATTTGTTAGCAAATCCAATTATAAAACTTTTAAACGTGAGTGATTCATAGAACGTGAGTCATTATTCGCAAAAAAACAGACTTTATTTAGGGGATCTATCCCATTATAATTATGCAGGGTATTTTGATCCCAGCACTTGCCCTTTAAAAAACTGGATATTTTTTTTAAAAAAAGGTGCATGTTGCTTTGCTTAAAGAATAGGGGCACATGCTAAGAGAAATATACACGTGTTGCAAAAATAATAATAATACCGGCAGGTTGCCAAAACCAGTGTGCACATTGCTTAATACATATACCCTCAAATAAAATTGGTAGGAAGCTTTGGCAGATACAAGATACTAGTGTGGTTAACCAACAGAGTCAAGGAGGAGCAATTTCTTCGTTTGGAAAACGAATCCAGGTGATCTGATCTGCAGCTTGATCATTATAATGAACAACAATAATACAACAAAGAGAAGAGTCTACACTTAGTCTTCCAGCTGCCATGCATTTTTCAGAAATAAAAAGTCAGACATGCTTTCCGGTTATCTTGAGCGCTGACAGTTATCACCCAAATAACAAAGTAACCATGTCCAAACCATGTAACAAATTGAAGATTTGTGCTTTAGAAAGTGTGAAATAGATGGACAGAAATTTGTATGAATGTGACCATGATGTGGTTTAGGAAAGACAAGTGAAGAGTCAGTTCTGAACTGTTCATGAATGTTAAAACTGTTTACCCTTCCACAGCTATTCTACTGTAACAATGTGCTGCAGAGATGACAGCTCTGAAATTTGAGCAGCCCAAAGCTTTGCATGAAGATATGATGGAGAAGAGATGGGAAGAATAGTTGGAACCTGGGGAAATCTCTTTTTCATTCCTTTATATTTCCAAAACAACAGCAAAAACAAAACCCACCAGCGTTACAAAATAATAGAGATATGGGTCAGGTACCATTCTTCCAATCATTCAAGGAAGCTGAAATTCCTTCAATGACCTCGTGTCGTTGATCAACTTTTCTACTGTTGTTAGTTTCTCCATAGTTGCAATATCCCCTTATTTAATATTTTTTGGTATCAACTATTTACAGGCTTGCTCTCAAGTACAAACAAACCATACAGTAATCTCATCTGTAATACAAGACCTGGATTGTCATTTTTCTGTCCATTTGGGTTTCTGTTGATATTCCTCTCCGAAACATGAAAAGCTGCCTTGTGCCCAATAGAGGCCAGTAAGATAGCATAGAGTGGGATCGCCCTGCCTGCCCTCCTGACTTCGCAATGCCATGTGCGTTACCAAGAGGGACTTCTGGTGACCTTGCCCCTTGCCCTCTCAGTAACCCTGTCTATGCTGCCCTGCTAGCTACTGCTGCTTAGACCAAGTCAGACATTGGTCCTATAGCTCAATGTTGTCTTCAATGGCTGGCAATGGTGTTCCAGGATTTCATGCTGGTTCTCTCCCAGCCCTAACTGCAAATGCCAGGAAATAACCTTTTGCACTGGGCCATGATTATACAAGTTTAAGAAATTTTAGACTACCTAACCAACATTTCTCAAGTGGCTTCCTTCTCTCTACTGTCCCTCCTCTGAGGACATGCTGTTAGTCTCAGTGTGGAGGGACGTGGGTGGCGCTGTGGTCTAAACCACTGAGCCTCTTGGGTTTGCCCATTGGAAGGTCGGCGGTTCGAATCCCCACAACAGAGTGAGCTCCCATCGCTCTGTCCCTGCTCCTGCCAACCTAGCAGTTCAAAAGCATGCCAATGCAAGTAGATAAATAGGTACCACTGCGGCAGGAAGGTAAACAGTGTTTCCATGAGCTCTGGTTTCTGTCACAGTGTCCTGTTGCGCCAGAAGTGGTTTAGTCATGCTGGCCACATGACCCGGAAAGCTGTCTGTGGACAAATGCTGGCTCCCTTGACCTGAAGCAGGAAGAGTACTGCAACCCCATAGTCGCCTTTGACTGGACTTAACCGTCCAGGAGTCCTTTACCTTTTACCTTTAGTCACAGTGTGCAGGTTATTATTTTTTCATTTCATTTCCTAACCACTTTATATTGGGGGGGGGTCTCAAAGTGGCTTGCAACAACATTAAAACATCAAGTAAAACATTACTGAAGAAAGTCAAGTAGACATTCAAGGCAACATAATTAACAGGAAACTAAAGTATTACCACTATGGGACGCGGGTGGCACTGTGGGTTAAAGCCTCAGCGCCTAGGACTTGCCGATCGAAAGGTCGGCGGTTCAAATCCCTGCGGCGGGGTGCGCTCCTGTCGCTCGGTCCCAGCGCCTGCCAACCTAGCAGTTCGAAAGCACCCCCGGGTGCAAGTAGATAAATAGGGACCGCTTACTGGCGGGAAGGTAAACGGCGTTCTGTGTGCTGCGCTGGCTCGCCAGATGCAGCTTGTCACGCTGGCCACGTGACCCGGAAGTGTCTCCGGACAGCGCTGGCCCCCGGCCTCTAGAGTGAGATGGGCGCACAACCCTAGAGTCTGTCAAGACTGGCACGTACGGGCAGGGGTACCTTTACCTTTACCTTAAAGTATTACCACAGAGATTTTGAAATGAAACATTACTAATGGAAGTCAAATATAAAATGATCATTTTATTCTATGGGGAAAGTAGTCTAGGCATGTGATAAATTGCAGGTTAGGATCAATCTCCTAGATACTAGAAGGTGAGGTATGGAGGACCAAGTGGCATCGCAAGGGGGGCAGAGGTGGCAGTGCGCCCCAGGTGCCATGTCTGGGGGGGGTGACAAGAAGGCACCCCACGGGGTGCTCGCCCTGCTGCCCCTGGGCAAGGCGGTGCAAGCAGCCATCGCACCGCCACAGCCGCATGTGGAGGATCCTCCACGGCTGCAGCCGCAAGCAGAGGATCCCGCTACCGTCTGTATGGTGCCGGTGGCAAACCACTACATACAACGCATACACAGTGTCTCACGCATGCGCTGTACGTAGCGACACCACACATGCACCTTACATAGCAATGCCACGCATGCATTGTACATAGCGGCGCAACGCGTGCGCAGCCAGCGGTTTGCCCCACCCCGGGTGTCGGTTAGCCTCCGTTCGCCCCTGGGAGGACCTCCAATTATTTATTATGGCAGATCTGTACATTTAGGAGAGAATACATCATGTTGGTTATTTTTTCTACCTCAGAAACACCAATATATAAAAAAAAAGATTAAAATGTGTGTGATAGAGTTTTTCCTTGAGTGATGCAATGGAAGAATAGCAGATTCTATGTAGCAGATTCTGGCAGGAAGAAGGTAGGGGGAGTGCTCCCTGCTTTGAGCAAAACATTTGCATTAGAAGAAAGTGGTATTTTTTTGTCAAATGCAGGTGGAGCGGAATTGCATATTCTTTATGCTGTGTCTTTAGAGAACATCTGTTGTCAGTTTGGTTCCAATTCATAGCAAAGCATGTTTGCATTTTATTCCTAGGAGAAAACAAACAGCAGTATATGGTAAATCCAATTTACTACAGCTTGAACAGCTCCAACGTAGAGGAAATTGCTAAACTAGATGTGATGTGTGTATGATAAGGTGGCCAGGCATCATAATGAGATCTTCCAAGCAGTTCCCACAGAATAGGAGACCAAAGCCCATCATTAGCACCATAGGAAAATGAATGGGTATTGCTACCAGTACTCACACATAGATATCTCATGAGCTACTCAGTTGACACAAGCCTGAAAGGTATTCCAGACGTGCCATCCTAGCTTTCTACTGGCGGCTTCACCATTTCTACAGAAAGGTAATTTATGATCCAATAGAATAGAAGCAATCAAGCTGGTGTTGGCTAGGTTAGATCTAGGAAAATAGGGACATCCTAAGGAAAACCAGGACATTTCAGGATCAAATCGGAAACCAGGGCGGCTTCTGTAAATACGGGACTGTCCCTGGAAAATAGGGACACTTGGAGGGTCTGCTGAGGTTTGATTGGCTTTCGCTTCTTCTTCTTTGGTGATCACTCGTAGCCGAGTAAGATTGTCTTCCATGAGCACAGTCTTAACAGTGAGTCCGTAAATGGCTGTGGAGGCCAATTCTGGATCCACACATCCTTGCACAGTGGGGACACAGGTTTCCAGGCAGGAGCTGATCATGGTGAGGGTTTGCCAAGCGTGCCTTCCTCTTAGCACGTTTCTCCCTTGCGTCCTGAGTTCGAGCATCTTCAAAGCCCATGACACCTTTGGTAAAGGCTATTCTCCTATTGTAGCACTCGCAAGCCAGTGTTTCCCAATTGTCAGTGTTTATACTACTTTTTTTTAGATTTGCCTTGAGAGAGTCTTTAAACCTCTTTTGTTGACCACCAGCATTACGCTTTCCATTTTTAAGTTCAGAATAGAGTAGTTGCTTTGGAAGACGGTAATCAGGCATCTGCACAACATGACCAGTCCAACCAAGTTGATGTTGAAGAATCATTGCTTCGACACAGGTGATCTTTGCTTCTTCCTGTACACTGGCATTAGTTCTCCTGTCTTCCCAAGTGATGTGTAACAATTTTTGGAGACACCATTGATGGAATCTTCTGAGGAGTTGGAGATGGCGTTTATAAGGTTATAAGTATACACTAAAAACTAAGCTTTCAGCATGGCAGGCTCTGCCTAAGAAACTCCCTGCTTGTAGAGGTTTGTCCGGAACCATCCCTGCCTTGTAGATGTCTTTTGCAAACTATACTCTTTAGTTTTTATTTTAACCAACCAGTATTTACTTATTTTTAAAAATGTTTTTCATTATGTTGTATAGATATACACAGGCTGCATTTTATATGCTGTAAGCTGCCTTGAAATATTTTGTGAAAATGTGGGTTATAAAATATAAACACTCGCCCTTTCTCTATCCAGTACTCAGGTACTGCTCCGAATTCTCCACACATCAGCAAAAGGTGATGTGTGGGTAGTGGAGGCTGCCGATCGATCCCGTTTTCTGAAACCTCCAAACAGTCTCCTCTAGTCTCCCACTCTCAT